GCTGACACCCCCTCCCAGTCACCTCTACACAAAAAGCAGCCCGGAGCAAACACACAAGCATGGACAGGCCTTGTGGTAGGGTGCGCAGATGCAGACGCGTGCACACGCACACGCACAAACACACGCACGCACACGCCTCAGGCAGGGCCCACACAGATGTCTGTGCAGTGACTCTGGAGGTGACCCCAGGCACCTGGGCAGGAACGCCACTCAGAACACGGAGGGGCAGGATCCAGCTCAGGCGCACACCCGACCGGCGTCAGAGCGGATGCGCTCTGGCCAGGAGACCCCCGCGTGACCAGGTGCAGACCTGGGTTAGGAATCGCCCTGCGTGAGTTTTTTTTAACCCTGAGGACGAGGGAGGCCCAGCTCCTCCAAACAGCCCTGCTCTGCTGGCAGCCCTCACTGGGCTGGATTTTCCTGCAGGCCTTTTGGATTTTGTTTTTGATCCACTCAAGTGTTGATCGTGTGCCAGACCCCGTGCCAGCACTCGGCTAACGTGTGCAAAGTTGTTCGGAGTAAAGCTCTTGGTAAATGTGGGTTATTATGTACGTTGTTATTTACATACATAATCTAATTTCTTCTCATAACAACCCTATGAGGAAAGGTGCTATTATCCCCATCTTACAGATAAGGAAAGTGAGGCTCCAAGATGTTAAGTGGCTTGTCCTGGTGGCAAACAGCCGGTAAGTGACAGAGGCAGCGTTTGAGCCCAGGTCTCAGACTCCCGAGCCTGTACTCTTAATCTCTGTCTCATCAAGACTCCCAGTTGGGAAGCCAGCCCCCCCGGCCGGGGGGTACCACAGGGGAGCAAGGCCTTCAGGACGCCATGGCTTTGGTCTGAGAGGCTCGGGGCAGGGGGACAAAGGGGGGGAATGCGCAGAAGGGGAATGTGTGGTGCCAGGGGCCCCTCCCCCCCTTCCGTCCCTTTGCCCTTGCCTTGACTGTACCCCCAGTATGACCGGAGGTGCGGGGCGGGTACCGGAGCCACTGACGCCCTGGCTGTCCTTCCCGCCTGGTTGTGCTCAGTCTACGTGACCCTCGGCAGTATTCCACTCCCTCCCAGGCCTGAGTAGGGCTGAGCTGCCCCCTGGATGGCACCTTATCTCCGACCTTCAGCATGTCTGTGTCTGGATGGATTCCAAGTGCGGCCTCCTGCCTAGACTTCCAGCCCACCCTGGGAAGATGCCCCTGCTGTGCGGGCAGATAAGCATTGGCAAGTTTGAGCCCGCCCTTGCTTTCCGAGACCCACGAAGGGGGTGTGGAAGGCGTTGGCCCGCGTCTCCAGGACTCCTCCTCGTGAGGCCGCTGGGGGCTGTATTTTCCCCATTATCCCCGGGATGTGTGTGAGACAGCCAAAGGTCAGTGACCCCACGTGCACCACCCTCCAGAGGACCTACATGGTGCTCTTCAGAGGGTGCTCTGTGGGCCTCCCACTTGAGAATCACCTGGGAGCTCGTCAGATGGCACGTTGTTAGGCCATCCCAGGTCGGCGGTGGCAGCACCCTGAGGGCAGGCCTGGCCCCGGACAGAGGTCAGGCCTTTTGGGCGATTTTGCTGCATCCTGCCGTTGACCGATCAGGGGTTCTTTGGGAAGGAGACCTCTTGAGCCAGTCTTCCCCTACAGCTGCTTTTGTGCTGTGGGGCTTTGTGTAAGTTGCCTGGTCTCTCTAAAGTTCGGTTTCTTCTTCTGTAAGGCTTTGTAAGCCCTTGTAGGGCAGTCATTGGCCTGCAGGGGTTAATACCTGCGTATGTGCCCTGCTGCGCCCTCCCGGGTGTGGGCCTGTGCTGGCCGGTGGGAGGGGTCTCTTCAGGGGGTTGCCTTCCTAGGAGCAGAGCATGAAAAGGTCAGGCTGCTTGTTCCAAAAGGTCATCAGCACACAGTGCAAGCAACACGATTGGGCCCCATTGTGTTTGGAAATTTTGTGGTTGACAGAAGTGGCGGATTAGAACTAGAAACTTTCTTCGGGCTTCCCAGCATGTAGAGTGCTGATAGGTGGTGAGGAGTTGGGAACTGGGAGCAGAAGACCTAGAGTCTCATGCAGTTCTGGACTTAATAGCTCAAAGAGAGGGGCGCCTGGGTGGCTCAGTCGGTTAACCGACTGCCTTCAGCTCAGGTTATGATCCTGGAGTCCCGGGATCGAGTCCCACATCGGGCTTCCTGCTCAGCAGGGAGTCTGCTTCTCCCTCTGACCCTCTTCCCTCTCGTGCTTTCTATCCATCATTCTCTCTGTCTCTCAAATAAATAAATAAAATCTTTAAAAAAAAAAATAGCTCAAAGCGAGGCCTCGATTGCTCTGGACCATAGCTGTCCTATGGTTTCAGTACCGCAGTTTGGGCTCCGGATGTGAGGCGTGACTTTCCCCATGAATTCCCAGTGCCCCCCTCCCCCCAAGTTCTGACTTTGCTTCTAGAGCATGACAAGACTCCCAGCTGCAGAACCACACACATTCCCCCATTGAATGCTGCACTGGTCACCTTGCGTCCTCACCTTCCCTCACCAGGAGATATCGTGGGCAGCGGCCTTGGGAGCTCTGTCATCCTGTTTGCTGGCGGGATGCTATCCATCCCATGTCCCATTGGCTTTGCTAGGATGTCCCACCTGAGGGCTTCCTTCAGCATCAGTGGCTAGGCGAAAGGCTTAGCTTCTCCAGAATGGCTGCCATGTGTTCCTTCTCTTGGACAGCAAGAACAGGGTCACTTCCTTTCCCTTTTCTCCTCAGCCACCAGGAGGCTCGGCATTAAATGCACAACCCATCTCTAGTAGCTGTGTGAAGATCTCTTCTGACCTGCCTGTGTGAATATGCCCTTACTCTCTGGTTTAGGCGTTTTCCTTGGATTTGTGGTTTTGGTTTTTTCCCCTCTGTTCTTGATTTTAGTGTTTATGCTTCACTACGTTCTTTTCTTTGTTTTCTTGCCCTTTGTGGAACCAGGCTGGGGGTACGTAAAAACACTCACCATGTAAAAGCACACGAAGCTGTGTTCACAAGTGCTTTGTTGGCATGTTGCTCCTTTTGCTCCCTCAGCTTCATGAGACCGTATCTGTTTGCGTGGTCATAATCTATTGGTCAGATAGGAGATACCTGAGGCCGGGCAGGGTGGCTCATTTCTGCTTGTTTTTCTTTTCTTATCAGCTGCTTGGAATTTTTTAAATAATTTCTCTTCAAACCCATTAGTCGCTCAAGGCACAGATGGTACCCTGGTTGGACAGATATGTGCGTTTCTTTCTTTTTTTTCCTTCTATTTCTTCTGCATCACACAAGAGTAACCTGCTAATTATAGAATCCAAACATGATAAGTAAAAAGGAAAAAAAAATTACCTATACTCCCACCAGGGATACCAATTTTCAGCATTTTGTGATTCATCCTCCTGGATTTATTCCCCCTCCCCTTTTTTTTCCTTTTTCTGTTTATACTTTTCCCACAAAAAATAAGCTCTAACTAGACATACTGTTTTGTTTTGTTTTTTTCCTTTAAGATTTTATTTATTTATTTGACAGAAAGAGAGTATAAGCAGGGGGAGCGGCAGGGAGAGGGAGAAGCAGGCTCCCACTGAGCAGAGAGCCTGACGTAGGGCTTGATACCAGGACCCCGGGATCATGACCTGAGCTGAAGGCAGACGCTTAACCCACTGAGCCACCCAGGCGCCCCTAGACATACTGTTTTATAACCATCTTCACTTGGTGGTAATTAGACTCTTCCCTGTTATTACGGAATTTAAAACAATGAAAGGTATTTCAAGTTTATATCCAGGATACACGCACATAATTCGTTTTTAAGGGTGAAAGTACTTACTGTGAAAAGTGACCAGTGCCTCTGTCATCCCCAGCCCCAGGCCTGGTTAAAGGGACGGCTTTTAAATCAGACTTTTTGTTAGTACAGTGGTTTCGTCCATATACTTAAGTAAAATGCTTGCACTACTACTATTGCTTGGCTTACCTGATTTACTGATTTGCTGCTGAGAAAAAGAAGGCTTTCCATCACTTCCATCAGCCTTCCCCACCTCCTGCAGACAGTTTTCTACCACTATATTGGGTTGCCTCTGTAATTTAAAATATTATCCTGAGGGGCGCCTGGCTGGCTCGGTCGGTAGAGCATGTGACTCTTGATCTTGGGGTCATGAGTTCAGGCCCCACGTTGAGGGTAGAGATTGCTAAAAAAATAAACCTAAAAAAAAATTTTTTTTTATACTTAAACTTCAGTTTCTTATCCACTGACAATATCTTGTGGCCCTCTTTGCTCTCCCAAGGAGATAGAGACTCCGTTTTTTCCTTAACAACCCTGGTACCCAGCATCACAGCGTCTCTCTGTTGTACACTGAGGTCAAGATTGGTAACAGTTTGCATTCTGTTTTATAACCGTAAATCTTCGATGAGCGACTGTGAGCTGGTACTGCGAGGTAAAGACCAGCGCCCCGCATTTGCTTCCCTTGGCCACCGTAAATCTTTTGCTGTGGGACCAGGGTGGGGTGGGCTGTCCTTACAGGTCCTTCTCCTTGGATCTGATGCTACTCAAGGAGGGTGTTAAATGTCCTTTCTTTTCTTCTATTCTCTTACATGCTCAAAACCCACCACTTTATATTTTAGTTTGCTTCATATTTGACCATGTTTTCCATGTTTAATTCTGTTTTCTTGCTTTCCTGGTGTTTCTAATACAACATCATTTTTACCGGCTGCATCATATCCCATGGAGTGCAGTGTTAATGACGTCTTTTCATCTCGTCCCCTATGGTTGGACACTTAGGTTGTTGCCCATTTTTCACTAATGTGAATGGCGCTATAATAAATGTTCTTTTACATTCATCTTTGTACATGTGTTTCTAACAATGTTTGAGAGTCCAGGAATGCTGTTCCCCTTTCAGCCTAATCTGCCCGTCCCCAGCTCCTTGCCATGCGCTGCCTTCCTCACTTCCCTTCAGATCGGCCTGTCTTCGAGGTTGGTGGGAGACGTGTCTCCTGGGAGGCGCGGGCCCCAGGGAATGTCCGTCTTCCTCTCCCCAGGCTCCCAAGAGCGGCCATCCCTCAGATTTGGAGCAGAAAATGTCTCCAACTACACGGCCCTTCTGCTGAGCAGGGATGGCAAGACTCTGTATGTGGGCGCCCGAGAGGCCCTCTTTGCTCTCAACACCAGCACCAGCTTCCTGCCTGGCGGGGTGTACCAGGAGGTGAGAAGGTGCCTGGGGCTGGCTAGGCTGGGCAGAGGATGGCAGAGGGGCAGATGGTTGGAAAGACCGACCTTCTGGGTGTGAAGATGCTGCAAATGGGAGAAGAGGGGCCGGGCACACCCCCCATTCCCATATGCGCACTCCCCTTCTCCCGTTCTACAGCTGCCGTGGAGCGCAGATGCCGAGAGGAGACAGCAGTGCAGCTTCAAGGGCAAGGACCCGCAGGTGAGCTAGCACCTGGGGGCCGCTCGGGCCGAGGGAGGGATGGAGAGAGGTGCACCAGACCCAACGTGGAGGCAGGATGTGGGAGCGGTGTAGCCAGCTACGGCTTCAGAGATGGCCACACCTGCGTTTGGCCCTATACCTAACTTTCTCTGTGACATGGGACAAGTAAATTGGCCTCTGTGAGCCTTAGTGTCCCCACTTGTAAAATGGGGATAATGATGCCTGTCTCACAGGACTTGGGGTGAGGATTCGGTGAGCTAATACGTGTAGGGCACCTGGCACCTAATCAGAACCAAACAAAGTCGGCTTCCAGCAAGAGCAATGACTGGGTATCCTCCTGCAGATGGGGTGCTAGAGCAGGTCTGACCGATCCTGGTGTGGTTCTGGCCAGACCACAGGGGGTGGGGGTCTGGTCCAGCGCCCCTGGAGAGTGTTCTGCTGGAGAGTGCTCCACACTCTCCACCGTTCCCGGAGACCTCTTTTTTTTTTTTTTTTTTTTTTAAAGATTTTATTTATTTATTTGTTTGAGAGAGTGAGAGTGAGAGATAGAGCCCCTGCGAGGGGGGAGGGTCAGAGGGAGAAGCAGACTCCCCGCCGAGCAGGGAGCCCGATGCGGGACTCGATCCCGGGACTCCAGGACCATGACCTGAGCCGAAGGCAGTCGCCTAACCGACTGAGCCACCCAGGCGCCCTCCCGGAGACCTCTTGTCCTGCATGTAGCAGGAGGCGGCTGAGGTGAAGGCAAAAGAGCCCCAGACTTGAGGTCAGACGCAGGTTCGAGTCCTGACTGCCCCTGACCTCTTAATGGACAAACGTTTATCAAGCACGTGCTCTGTGCTCAAGTCCCTTTAGACACTGGCAATACAGTTGTGAAAAAGAGGAAAGAACAACAGGCCAAACACAGCCACTTGAGCAGGTAGTCAGGCCACACCTCATTAAGAAAGTGACATTTGCGTCAGGACTAGACGTTGCTGAGGGAGTTGGCCATGGGATACCCGGAGAACGGGCAGGACTGGACTGACCCTGAGCAAGGTGTTTGGGGAATCACCGGAGGGCTGGGCAGGGGAGCGCCATGGTTGGCACGTGTTTTAAAAGGGTCACTCTGGCTGCCGTGACGGAGCGTGGCCTCTGTGGGGACAGAGGTGGGGAGCCCAGTGAGGGGGACCAGACCAGGGTGGCACCAGTGAAGGGAGTGAGAAACGGTCAGGTTCCGGATGTAGTTTAAAGATGGGCCCACCAGGACTTCCTGACAGGAAATGGGGGATGTGTGAGAGAGGAGTCAGGGCTGACCTCCAGGTTTGGAGCCTGAGCAGCTGAAAGGGGAAAGGTCTCAGAGGATAAAGTTTTGGGCAAACAAACAGATACTTGGTTGGAGATACCACTAGACACCCTTGCAGAGGCGATCCATGAGTCTGGGGTCCAGGGTCCTGCTCTGGGCTGTGGCTTACCTCACCAGGCAGGCAGGTGGGGAGGACCAGAGATTTTCACTGAGGTTCTGAAAAAGACCTTCAGGGGGCAAAGACCACCTAAGGGGAGGGATTCTGTGCCTTCACTCCCAGACTGAAAGGAAGTTTCCGGAACGCAGAGCTAGCTGCGCCCCCAGGCCCCCCTCCAGTGCACACGCTCCTTGGTCCTCAGTGTACTCTGCCCCAGGGCGCTGCTGGGTTCTCATTTGCCTTGGGATATGAGCAGCTCCAGAGAGCAGAAGCTTTCCCCATGCACCCTGCACACACTGGTGGTGAGGGCTTGGCAGTGCCCCCTGGTGGCCGGCTTGGGCCTGACATCCTCCTCCCTCGTTCCCCAGCGCGACTGTCAAAACTACATCAAGATCCTCCTGCCACTCAACAGTACTCACCTGTTCACCTGCGGCACGGCGGCCTTCAGCCCTGTGTGCACCTACATCGTGAGTGCCCCTCTCTGCCCAGGCTCGCCTGGGGCCGGCCTGGGAGCCGCCCCTCTCTCTGCACCAGGCGCTGTTCCCCAGCACTGATCCCGGGCCCAGGGCAGGGCCCAGGGCGCAGCATCTAGGGAGCAGTGGGTCTGAGAGCCCTGAGGCCCAGCCCCAGATCTGGTGGCCGGGTTGGCTGGCAGGGGGGCGGGGGGCGGAGAGGGGTGCAAGAGAACACCCCCGGGCACAAAGGTCCTGGCCAGCCCAGGACTCACACCCTCTCTTGCTTCCTCGAGCTCTCAGTGCCACAGCCCACCTCCTCCACCCCTCCTCACACCCACTCACCTCCTGGTTTCTGTTTTACCCACACCTTAGCAGGGGGTGGCATTTTGAGGCAGTGGGTTGGAGCACCGCCTTTGGAGTCAGACACACTGGGTTTGAATCATGTTGCCACCCCTTCTGAGTCCTGTCGTGTCTGTCCTGTGGTCACTGGGACTAGTAATGCCCACCGTAGAGGGTCCCTGCCAGACGGCGCCCACGACTGCGCCCTGGGTGCAGAGATGAACTCCCCTTTCGCCCCCCACAGAGCAGCCTTCTCTGGCACACCCCCCTCCTTTCCCTCCAAGCCCACACATTTCCTGGCGTGCCCCTGACCTCTTCCATCTGCTTCCCTGCAGAATGTGGAGAACTTCACTTTGGCACAGGACGAGGTGGGGCACATCCTCCTGGAAGATGGCAAGGGCCGTTGTCCCTTTGACCCCAATTTCAAGTCCACGGCCCTGATGGTTGGTGAGTGTTGGGGACAGAGTGGCAGCATGAGTTCAGCAAGGCTCCATGTGGGGGTGGGAAGGTGGGCAGCCTAGGTCCCAGGCCTGAGCTGGTGGGTCCCCGCCATGCTGAGTCCCAGGGGGCACAGAGTGACCCTTGGCTGCCCTTGGGTTTGGCTTTTCCCGGTTCCCACTCCCTTCCCTGTCCACCTCAAGCGAGACAGGCAGTGCTGGGGTCACTCAGGGCCCTGTGCTGAGGGGCCATTCCCATGGGAATGTTCTCTTGGCAGATGGTGAGCTCTATACCGGAACAGTCAGCAGCTTCCAAGGGAATGACCCGGCCATCTCCCGGAGCCAAAGCCTCCGCCCCACCAAGACCGAGAGCTCCCTCAACTGGCTCCAAGGTGAAATCCTCCCCACACACCCAGTGGGCAGTCCCCAGAGCCCAGGGAGGGGCACGCTCTCCCCTCAGGGCCAGGCCAAGAACAATCTCTCTCCTGTCTGGGATTCCCAGGCTGACTACACTCCCCATTGGTCCCACAGACCCAGCGTTTGTGGCCTCGGCCTATATTCCCGAGAGCCTGGGCAGCTTGGAAGGGGACGATGACAAGATCTACTTCTTCTTCAGCGAGACTGGCCAGGAGTTTGAGTTCTTTGAGAACACAATCGTGTCCCGCATCGCCCGCATCTGCAAGGTGAGGGGGCCGGGCTGCCCCAGAGAGCCCGAAAGCTCCCCCGGTACAGGATCAGGAAACACCAGGAGGCCTCTTCTGTCCTCCAGGAGGAACAGCTTGGCTAACTGCTTTTCTCTCTGTCCTTTTAAGCTCTCGTGTTTTTTCCTATTTAAGAAAATGCGAAAGTACAGAAAAGTACACGCAAAAATCACGTACAATATAAAGAGGCAGGGTAGTGTCACGACAAAGAGCAGAGACTCAAGCCAGGCTGCTTCAGTTCCGACCTCACCGGTCCTGTGACCTTGGGCAAGTCCCGTGCCCTCTCAGCTGGCGTCCCCATCTGTTCAGTGGGCATAATAAGACCTGCCTCAGAGTTATGTGGGCTAAATCCATCCCCAGAAAGCTTTTAGGAGTGTGGTAGGCAAAAACTAAATGTTGACTGTTAGTGTCGGCATCCTCCTGCTGCACCACAGATGATTAGAACATTCCTTGATAATCTATTTCCTTTTTTTGGTGTATATGTAAATAGGTAGGTGTTTATAGTATTAAAAAACTATTTACAAGCAAGAGTTCTGCAGTGTGGGTATTCAGGTTCCCTGCTCTTGGGGAATCATGACCTCCTTCCCTGTGTGTAGGCAGGCTCCCATCTGTCCGTTTCCGGGTACTCTGCAGTAAGAAGGGCACCCTCGTTTACCTGGCCAGCCTCCTGGTGATGGGACCTGGACCCCGCCTTCATGTCTTCCTGATTCTAAATGGAACTCCGCCCTGGCTGTGGCTTGCCCCGCTGGGTGTCTGTGTAGCTACCCCTGGGGAGGGGCCGCAAGGAGCCCCAGGTTCCCCCCGGTGGCCCGTGTGTACGCCCAGCCTCTCTCTCCCTCCCCCAGGGGGACGAGGGCGGTGAGCGGGTCCTGCAGCAGCGCTGGACGTCCTTCCTGAAGGCCCAGCTGCTATGCTCGCGGCCAGACGACGGCTTCCCATTCAATGTGCTGCAGGATGTCTTCACGTTGAGCCCCAGCCCGCAGGACTGGCATGACACCCTGTTCTATGGGGTCTTCACATCCCAGTGGTAGAGACCCCGGGACCTAACTGGAGACGGGAGGGCGGGGGATGCCTGTGACTGGGGCCCAAGATCTGGCTGCATCCCGCGCCCCAGGGCTCCTGGGTTCATCCAGCCACTTCCTTTGTAGGCACAGGGGGACCACAGAGGGCTCTGCCGTCTGCGTCTTCACCATGAAGGACGTGCAGAATGCCTTCAATGGCCTCTACAAGGAGGTGAACCGTGAGACACAGCAGTGGTACACCGTGACCCACCCAGTGCCCACACCCCGGCCCGGAGCGGTGAGTACTGGCTGCTGACAAGATGGCTCCCCACGCCCTGCTGGCTTCTCTGAGTCTGTTTTCTCATCTTGAAAGTGGGGACCAAAGCCCAGGCCTGCTTGTCTTACTGGGTTGGATGTGGCTATGAATGTTGGAATGGCTGAAACCTGCCTCAGGGTGAGCCAGTGCGCTCCCGTCCCAGCACTTAAGCGTGCGCCCTTGTCATTGTCCCCTCATTTGCGCCTCTCCCCTACTCAGCTGTGGGCTCCTTATCTAGTGAGTGACTGAGTGGCTTGGCCATGGGGACATCTTCCTTCTGTCCTTCCAGCCTCATAGACTCCCTCCCAAAGCCGACCTCGAAGCGAGGATGTGAGTGTCAGCAGTTGATGTGGGAGGTGACTCCGGGAAGCACCGTGAGGGAGCAGGAAAGTGAGAGGGCGGAGCGGAGCCAAGGAAGAGGGTCACTGAGCTGTTCCCCTCGTGGGCATCTGGGCCTCACCTCCCTGGGGCCCCGAGAGAGCACCTTCTGACCCTGCACTAGGAAACCCGGCCAGCCAGGGCTTCCTTCGAGCCTGGCGAAAGGAGCATGAAGGGTGGTCATGCTTCTTGGGGCCTGGGTGAGGGTGAGGGGCCTGGGCGGGAAGGGGGAACCCTGCCAGCCAGGGCCCCTGGGTGCCCCATATCCAGGCTTTGCCCTTGGGCCTCCAGATCAGTGTGTTGGCTCCATGCAGAACCAAGTGATGGGCCATGGCTTCTGAGGGGCGGGCAGATACCTGTCCTGCCCGCTGGGGAGGCAGGGCCAGCAGTCCTGGCCACATCTCCAGGCTTCCCCTCCTGCGCGCTGCCTTAAGCGGCGCTCCGTCTCATGCCGCCACCTCTTCCTTCAGTGCATCACCAACAGTGCCCGGGAGAGGAAGATCACCTCATCCCTGCAGCTCCCAGACCGTGTGCTGAACTTCCTCAAGGACCACTTCCTGATGGACGGGCAGGTCCGCAGCCACCTGCTGCTGCTGCAGCCCCGGGCCCGCTACCAGCGTGTGGCTGTCCACCGTGTGCCTGGCCTGCACCGCACCTATGACGTGCTCTTCCTGGGCACTGGTGAGTGCCGACAGCGGGGCAGGTTCGGGGTAGAGGAGCCCCGGCTGTTGGGATATGGGTCTGAGTGCCGTCCATGTTCCAGGTGATGGCCGGCTGCACAAGGCGGTGGCCGTGGGCTCCAGGGTGCACATCATTGAGGAGCTCCAGGTCTTCCCAGCGGGACAGCCCATCCAGAACCTGCTCCTGGACGCCGACAGGGTGAGCTGGAGGAGGAGCCCAGGGGAGCGTGCTCGGCTGCCCCTCTGCTATGGACAGGCGGGCCCCAGCCAGCTTTTCCTCCCTGGCACCAGCAGGATGGAAAGATCCAGGCTCGTGGCATAAGGCAGCAGAAAGCGGGGTGCCCGGGAGCACGAGAGGAGGCTCCTTGGGGAGTGGCCGGGTGCGGCTCTGGGTGGTGGCCCTGGCTTCCTGCTCCTACCTCTCACCCCTGTGTCTGCGTCCGTACAGGGACTGCTCTACGCCGCCGCCTCCTCTGGCGTGGTCCAGGTGCCCGTCGCCAACTGCAGCCTGTACCAGAGCTGTGGGGACTGCGTCCTCGCCCGGGACCCCTACTGTGCTTGGAGCCGTTCCAGATGCACACACATCAGCCTCTACCAGCCTGAGACGGCCTCCAGGTGAGAGCTCCTGCCGGCCCTTCCCACCTGGCCGTCCCTGTGCACTTGGCCTCAGAGCACCTTCCCTAGGCCCTCTGTAGACTCCCCAGGCAGCGTCCTTTTGTGTCCACGGTCAGCATGATGAGTAACTGACTCCTGTTCTGACTCTCAAAAGTGGTCTGGTTTGGGCCATAAATGATGTTTGCCTTACCCATCTGTAGAGCTGGGGACCTCATTTGGTAAAGTACGAAGTGTCACAGCTCTGAAAAGCTTTGCAGGAGATTGTGGATTGGCGTGTGAACGTGTTTAACAAAAAATAAGAGCTATGTGACAATCCATTAACAAACCTATTAAAAATCGCTTTCAGAAGCACTAAATTGGGTTGTAAGATGTTCGTATAGAAAACTTGAAAAGTAGAGGTAAAACAAAAACTATTCCGAATCCCACCACCTAGAGAGAATTGCAATGAGATTTTGAAATATACCCTCCTGGGTTTTTATATATATATATATATATGTGTGTGTGTGATAAACAAAAATACATGTATTTTAAATAAAAATGGAATCTGTCCCATTCGTAGTGTCCTTGCTTCACACACAGACCTGGTGCCAGTTTTATTTTTCAAAGAATCCCATTTGAGCACACGCGTGTGCACCTGGAAGGACACGCCCAAACTGCTACCTGTCACGATCACCACCAGCTGGTAGACTGTGTGTGACTCCTGTAGTGTTTTCAGCGTTTGTACTTGGTTGAGTTTTTTTAGGTTTTGTGAGTGTATCACGAATTACTTTTTATTCTTTATTATGTTTTATTAAGCAAGGGCGTGCATGTGCATTGCTTTAAAAGAGACAGAGACATGCGTATAGATTCAGCCGTCCTTCCAGAAAGGTCCATATTGCTTTTGTAGCGCAGGGAAGTGTTGTAGTGAATTGTATTTGAAATAAATACTGTGTAGACAGAGGAGGTGCTGGCTTAGACCCTGCAGGGCAGTCAGCCTGGGGAAACCACCTGCCTTTTACTCCGGCTTTGGGCCTGGCACACCCTGGGCCCCAGGCCCTTGCGGGGCTGCAGGGCCAGAGAAGTGCCATGTGCTGCACTGGGGATGGGGCCAAGCAGGTGCATGGTGGTTTCCTGGCCTCTCTCTGACTCTCTCTGGTCCTCAGGCCATGGATCCAGGACATTGAGGGGGCTAACACCAGGGATCTCTGCAATACTTCTTCACCTGGGCCCCGGTCTTCTGTACTCACAGGTAAGTCGCCCTGAGAAGGGTTGGAGCTGAGGTGGGGGCCGGGTCTGCTGAGAAGGCCCCTGCAGGCAGTGGTGGGTGTAAATGCCTTTCCTCACGTCCTCGTCCCAGACTCCGAGTCGCCAGAGTTGCGCATCATGGCACAAGGAGCGCAGTCCCAAGAGAGGTGGGGCAAGCCTGGGGCTCCTGTGGATGCCGGTCCCCCCGCCCGTTACCCTGGGCCTCTTCTGTCATCTGTCTATAGGTGAGAAGCGATGTGAGCAAGTCTACTTCCAGCCCAACACGGTGAACACCTTGGCCTGCCCCCTCCTCTCCAACCTAGCCACCCGGCTCTGGCTACACAATGGTCTCCCTGTCAATGCCTCAGCCTCCTGCCATGTGTTGCCCGCTGGGGACCTGCTGCTGGTGGGCAGCCAGCAGGAACTGGGGGTATTCCAGTGCTGGTCCCTGGAGGAGGGCTTCCGGCAGCTGGTGGCCTGTTACTACCCAAAGGTGGTGGACGACATGCTGGCAGACCGAGCCGACCGGAGCGGCAGCATCCCCGTCGTCATCAGCACGTCCCGGGTGAGCGCACCAGTGGGCGGCAAGGCCAGCTGGGGTGTAGACAAGTCCTACTGGACCGAGTTCCTGGTGATGTGCACGCTGTTTGTGTTCGCCGTGGTGCTCTTCATTTTATTCTTCCTCTATCGGCACCGGGGTGGCATGAAAGTCTTTCTGAAGCAGGGCGAGTGTGCCAGTGTGCACCCCAAGGCCCGCCCCGTGGCGCTGCCACCTGAGACCCGGCCGCTTAATGGCGTAGGCCCCCCTAGCACCCCACTCGACCACCGAGGCTACCAGGCCCTGTCAGATAGCTCCCCGGCACCCCGCATCTTCACTGAGTCAGAGAAGCGGCCGCTCAGCATCCAGGACAGCTTTGTGGAGGTGTCCCCGGTGTGCCCCCGGCCCCGGGTCCGCCTGGGCTCTGAGATCCGGGACTCCGTGGTGTGAGAGCACACTTCTCGAGGAGTCCACCCTGGCCTCCGAGGCCGTGAGTGCTCAGAGGGGGCCAGCCGGACCTCTGCGCCTCAGGGAACATGACCGTGGCGCCTGGGGGTCGGGGCTGATGGAGCCCGCGGGCCTGCTGCTCCTCCGCCAAGTAGCGCGGCCCCCTCCGACCAACCGCCGTGGCCCAGGAGGGCCCAGTTGCAGATGGGGGCCTGCCTGGATGGGCAGAACAGTGCTCCTTGTGTAAAACTGAGCCCTTTGTTTAAAAACAATTGCAAATGTGAAGTGATTGAGAAGAACGACACATCACAGAGCTCCATGTGTGCGAACAGCCCCGCCGCGGGGCCTCAGGGGCATGGCCGACTCACCCAGAGTGCTTGAGACAGCGCTGGCCCGTCCCCACCAGCTGGTCTCTTCCACCTTCTGCCTTCCTTACCCTGCGGCCACCGGCTGCCCCTCGTCTCTGCAGAAGCAGGGGCCGGCTTGGGCTCCGTGGGTCCTGCCTTGCCAGCTGGCCGACTTATTACAGCCATCATCCCGTCACCTCAGGGACCCGAGGGCCACGCTGCCACTGCAGCTGTCACGAGGCCTTGGGCTCAGACTCACCTGCTGGACCTTTCGGGCCTGTATCAGGCTGTGGCCACGTGCGAGAGGGGCAGCGTGAGCCCAGGAGAGAGTTTAGGACGATGGACGCCTTTCCATCGAAGTCAAGGAAGAGACCGTTGCCTTCCTTCCTCCAACCCAGCCTTCGAACCCCACATCCACCCTGGACTCCTCCCCAGAGCCCAGCCCCCGGTTCATCCCCTCCACCTTGCCCGCTCCCCCTCTAAGGGGTATTGATACTGCCCTATACAGGAACCCCGAGTTTATGTGGGTTTTATATTTTTTTTAATAAGAGGCACTTTACTTTTTTTTTTTTTTTAATAAAATCTAAATAACAGAAACGGAATCATGGCCCTTCCTCTCAAAAGACTGTTCCTTTTTTGAGGTTGGCCCAGTTCTCTGAGTTTTGAGGAGTTCTGAGCCTCCACTTTCCAGGGGCTAGTGGGCCAGAGCCATCGTGGCCTGGCCGACTCCCATCTCCCAGGGGAGTGTGGTCCTAAAGGTGGGAAGTTTAATGCACTGATGGGAGGGGCAAGGAATTCATTCGTTTTCCCTCAACCCCTTTACTCTGCACCTCCCCCAGTTCAGTTCAGGGTGGGGGCACAGAGGACCAGAGGTTTTGTCATGTTTTTTGTTTTGTTTTGTTTTAATTTAAAAAATGTTTATTTTTTTAAATGATCATACGGTGAAATTGGCGGTTGGTTTTTCTTTTGGCACACAGTTGTCTAAATTTTTACATGTGTGGAAATTCTGTAAGCAGCACCAGCATCAGGATATGGAGGAGTTCCATCTATCAGGCTACCCCTTCCTGCTCACAGTCTCGTGGGCGGTGGGCGGTGGGCGGTGGGCCGTGGTGGGCCGGGTAGGCTACAGTCTGACTTCCTGCTGGCTCTTTAGATCCCATTCTTTCCGGTATGACCGAAGGCTTCTGGAAGTCCAGTCCTTCCTCATACCAATGTTTCTAGTATCATGCAAAGGGTCAAAACTTCTAAACCTTTATTATAGATTAGTAGAACACAAACACACGGGAGAGTGATGACAATGACAGAAGGAGAGAGGCCCTGGTCCGGAGGGCCTTCCCTGCCCGGAGCAGGACCGCATGGTGCCAGCTCGGCTAGGCCAGCGTGGCCGGCCCTGGCAACACAGGCATGACCTTGGCCACAGCTCAGCAGTGGAAAGGCTCTCGGACGGGGTGCTTGCTGGGACACATGCTGTGGCTCCTGTCACAGGACAATCTTAAAGGAGCTGAACAAGAGAAGAGCGGGTCAGGTCTTCTGCTGAAAGAGGAGGGAAGGGGCTAACCCCAAACTTACCCACATCATCCCTAAGACCCTTTGGAATGGGCTGTCCCACATCTGTCCTTCCCCTTTGGAAGAGCTACCCTGAGACCCTGAGAGGAACTGGGGCTTTCCCAGCCCGGCTGCTGCCGCCCATCCTGACACCCCAGACCTAGGTGCAGCAGATGGGGACCCAGAACGCGGGGGGACTACTACTGTCATACCTGGCGAAGTCCGGTGAGCGGGAGATGACGTGCTGAAACTCTGAGAGGTTGATGGTGCCATCCCTATCAATGTCGGACTCTTCCAGGATCTGGGGAAGGGAGAGCTTCAGGCCAAGTTCCGGCCGTTCCCTCTGGCTCCCTGGCCCTGCCCAGCTACTCACGTTGTCAATGAGCTGTTTCATCTCTGAAGCACTAAGACGTGTGTCCTCACCCTGTCCCGTGAGGCAGTTCACAAGGTGACTCAGGTCTTCCCGGTTCAAGGTTCCATCATCATCAAAGTCTAGAGACAGACACAGGAAGCCAGAAAGAATGTGGTCAGGGTGAGCTCCCAGGCTCCACAGAAGGCCCCCAGGTCCCGAGCGGTACACCGCCACCAAGACCGTGTGGGGACAGGCCTGTGTCCCGCCAAGCTGCTCCTGGCTCTCACCGAAGATGCGGAAGGCATAGTGGGACTTGATGTCTGGAGTCGCTGTGTCACTGAACACACTGAGGAGGTCCAGGAAGTCCTCGAAACTCAGGCTGTCCCTGGTCGGGGATGTGGAGAAGACCCTGCAGATTCGCTCCTTGAAGGGGTTGGCCTAGGCAAGAGAGCCTTGTGTGAAGGCCACAGGTGCAGCCCAGGTCACACACTCCTCAAACCCTACCAGGAACTGGAGGAAGCAGGTCACAGTACCCGCTCCATGAGCTCAGGCTCACAGGAGAGAAGGATCAGTCTTTTAGGGCCGGCATGGAGGGCAGGAGGACCACCTGACTTGGGGAAGGGGTAGGGATGGCTTCCTGTGAGTCAGTTTAACCCAAAGGCAGGCCTAGGGGCAGAGAAGGAAGACGAAAGCGTCCTAAGCAAAGAGAACAAGATGGGCTGGTTACTTTAAAACACATTTACTTGAACACTCACTGTGTTACAGGCACTAGGCCAAGCGCTTTGCATAAAAATTTTCAGTCAGGTGCCCTGGGTGTCTCGGTCAGCTGTTAGACTCTTGATTTCCGCTCAGGGTGGTGAGATGGAGCCCCTCGTCAGGCTCCGTGTGGGGTCAGCTTGTCCCTCTCCCTGCCCTTCCCCCAACTCTCTTTCCCAGATAAATAAGAATCTTTAAAAAAAATTTTTCACAGCAACCCTGTGGAGAGGCAATCAGTCTCTGGAATAGGGTTTCTCAAACCTGAATAAGATAGCTCAACTCCTTTTAAAGGACAAAACTTCTTTGACTCTCCAGGAATATGTCCAAGAATCCCAGTTTGCAAAACACCACTCTAGTTCATTCCACTGGGTGATTTTGGTAAAGCCCTTGTACCCAGGAAATTAGGGCTAAATGGAGAGAAGACCAGAATGGGGACCAGTGACCACACGATCTCGAGAGAAACAGCAGAGGGAGGGTGGGGGACTGGCACCTTGAGCTCTGGAAGGCTGAGGATCTGCTCCAAGGACACTCGCATCTGCAGTGACTCCTCCACACTCCGGTGCTCTGGGGGGAGCAACTCACAAAACCGCCTGTGGGCTCTGGCAGAAGGAGAGGAACCTGTTGGCAAACCTTCCTGTGTGTATTACATCCCCACTCCTTGCCTTGTTACCCATTATAAACCAGGTGAGGAGCTAAGGCATATACACAGAACTTCTCAGTCATCAGGCATAAGCCAAAGGGAGACTACATATGTAATCCCATATGTAGAACCCCTTATGTCACAAGACTATGGGCTGAGAGTGCATTCATGCCACGGGTATTTACGGAGGGCCTAAAGTATGCCAGGCACTGTACTGGGCATTGGTTCTAGAGCTCCCTGAGGGATGGAGAGGCTGCAAAAGGAGCCAGAAGTTGGCCCTGAAAAACAGGGAGAAAAGAGTTTGAAATCTCTTTCCCATTTCACTCCAGGAATCTCCAGCAAAGCCTCCCCCTTTTTAGCAACTACCCTAAACGATCTCTTCCTCAGCCCTCACCTCCTTCCCACTGGGATTATTTTTGCCAAGGGAAGCCAAGGAATCTCCTCACTCAAGTGCCTTGACCACAAAAAGCTGGCACGCGGCTAGGAAGGGGGTTCCGGCCCGAGTTCAAATCCTCTTCCTTGGAGTGTAGTCTTAGGCAAGTTACCAAACTTCTCTGAAACCTGTTTCATTGTGCCGGCACCTCCCTCCTGAGGACTGAATTAGGTAATGCCGGCAACCACTTCGCACAGTTCCTGGCGCACCGAGAGTGCTCAGTAAGCGTTAACGGCTACCGTGTTGCTTCAGATCAAGTTACCAGGAGCCAGGCTCCGGGTCGGCGAAGTCCGCGGAGAGCCACAGCAGCCCCTGCCGGGCCGGGGCAGGAAGTTCGGTTACGCAGAAGCCAGCGGAGCGCAGGCCCCGGAGCGCCCAGCCGGGCCGAGGCTGCTAGGTGGCCCCCGCGGTGCGCAGTGGGGCCCCCGAGGCTACAGGGAGGGCGGGACGGGTTGAGGGCACTGCCCGGAGCTCGGGGCCCGGGCGCCAGCTCCGGCTCGGCCGCGGACCGCAGGCGGGCCCCTGTCCCTCCCTGTGGGGGGCCCTCAGTTTGACCGTCTGCGGACAGAGCCCCCCACCCCCGACGCTGCCGCAAGAGGATCCGGGAGCTGAGGTTCGACACGGCACTTACAGGAGGATCTCCTGCTTGGTCAGGAACGTCAAGTCCTGGAAGGCAAAACGGGAGGGGTTCAGCGAGCCTTCCGGAGGCCGCGCCCGCTCTGTCGCCCACCCCGGGACCCCGTTCCCCAGCGCAGGCCCGCGCGCAAACTCCCCGGGGACCGGCGTCCCGCGCACCTGGTACTCGGCCAACAGCTCCTTGGACAGGCGACTGCCCGAGCCACCCATCGTCGCGCCGCGCGCACAGCTCCGCCAACTTGCCTCGGGGCGCCGGCAACTTTTTCACTTCCGCCCTCGGGCCGCGTCACCGCCCTGTCCCCGTGGCAACCGCTCCTGGGGCCACCGCCCCCGGGCCCGCCCCCCTCCTTAAAGTGCCCAGGCGCTCCCGGCCCGGTTCCGCCCTCCCGCTCCCCGCTCCGGGCTGTCCGCGGCGAGCTGGAGGCGGGGCCCGGAGCGCGGCCGGACGCTCCGGGGCGGAGCCCAGGCTGCACGGCCCCGCCTCCTGGGTGGGCGGGACGAGCGCCGTCGCGTGCGAACGGGCTGGCTGCGCATGCGTTCGGGACGCCACAGCCTCGCCATGGCCCGGGTAGGAGCTTGCGGTAGGTGTCGCGTTGCGTCCTTCTCCGCTGCTGTCGGTGGTGGCGGCAGCCTTGGGCGCGATAGGGGCCCAAGGGAAGTACCTGGAGCCTGGAAATCCGGGAAAGTTCGGGACTCGCTACGTGGCGGAAGGCGGCCAAGCAGCGCATTGGCGCGGCGAGGACTTTTTCCACCCAGACGTTGCCACTGCGCCCGCGCCGCACGTGTTGCAGCGCGCATGCCACCTCCAGAAATGACCTGAACCTTGCGGGCCACTGAGGCTGTGCGCTGAGGGTCTGCAGACTGCAGGAGCCGTGCATCGTGATCTTCGATTTTCACGAGAGCCCTGCAAGGTAGGTTCCCATTTTACAAATGTGGAAAACAGGTCCGGGAGAAGGATTCAACTGACTTGTCTAGGCTCCGGCGTTTAGAAAGCGGTCACCCCAGTCTAAGGTTCTTCTCACGGCTTCCCAATCCTGTAGACCTCACTCGAGCCGACCCCGCGCCCAGAGCTCTTGTTTGCTCTTGTCCCCTCTCAACCCCTAGGACAACGCTTGGCCCGGAGTAGGCTCTCAACAAACTGGATGCATGAATGCATGAAGGAACCTCCACTATTCCAGAAGTTGAGGATCCCAGGCTGAGAGAGGAGGTGGAGGTGAGGTGAATTCTTTTGTTTTCAGCTTTATTGATGTATAATTAACAACATTGTAGGGATTAGTTCTTGATTCTCCTGATTCATTCTACTTGCTGATCTTTGTAAAGTCTAGATCTGATCATGGTGATTTGAGCTTAAAACTAATAAATGGTTAAAAACCGATATACTGGCCCTCTGAAATCTGACTTCAGCCTCTCTCTGCCCTCTCCTCTTGGCTTTCTGGGTTCCCGCCACAATGGGCTTTCATCAGTTCCTTTTCCATCTTAGCCTCTGGGAGGCCTTTCCTGGTTCCCTAGACTAGATCAGGAATCTTATACTTCCAGAATAGCCTGTGCTTCTCCTTGACAGCACTGTCTCACGTTGGCAACTTATGTTTACTTGGGTGTTGATTGGGTTAATGTCGGCACCCCCCCCCCCACCGCCCGCCATTCCCCGCTAGACTGTAAGCTCCATGAAGAGCTATGAGAATCGTGATCTACAGGATCTGATAGGTGGCAGTTGTTGAGTAAATGAGTGACCGTAGCTTCCCCAGCACTCAATAAGGTGTTCATCTGAGAGTGGCTTTAGGAAGACTCACTATCTCAACCTGGGAGTCCGACCCTTGTGGAAATAATTCTGTTCCAAGAAACAGAGGCTGCAAAGCAGTGAGAACACCAAAACCAGTCAAAGTGAGTGGTTCCATCCCAACCTGATCCTCCTGACAGCAGGCTCTTTCTGTACAAGAAATCGGTTCGTATAATGATAGGCGAAGAACAGGAAGCTCTCCTGGTGTCCCCTGTACTAGACTGAGGGGAGGGGGCACCGGCCAGCGAAGGCCAGTCCCTGGACTCTGTGGTGAGACTGTACCTCTTTGCAATGAGGATGTGGGAATTGGCCCTGTGCCATGGTGACCAGCCGTGACATAGATCTCTCAGCCACCTCACTTGGTGCTGAACCCTTAATTAAACAACCTTCTGGTTATAATTTCGCTTCCTGGTAGATTTTTGTACAGAGGAGGGACTATACTGATTAGCCAATAGGAACGTTTTGTGCTCTTTGGCATGTTTCGCATTAGAAGTCATTGAATAGGCGTTCTGAGTCTGCTTAGCACGGTGTCCTGGTCTGTGCCTGACCAACTCTTGAAACAGTGTGAAACTGAGTTGCTGAAATCCTTTTTTTTTTTTTTTTTAATTTAAATTCAGTTAGCCGGCGTAGAGTACATCAGCTAATATACTTTTAAAAACAGTTTCTAGTGTTTCTTGTGAAATTATTTGATTTCTTAATTGGATCTCTTCAGGTTTTGTTCATAACTACCAACTCTTGGATCTGAATTCCACTTTTTTTTTTCCCCCAAGACATCTTTTCCCTATTTATAATATTATTTCCTTCTTCCTGTTTCCCCCGGGACTTGAGGTGGGAGAGCCACCCCAGGTTTCCCCGAGGGGGTGACATTTGATCTGAGACCTGAAGGGGTCAGCCCTGTGAAGAAAGTCTGGGAAAAGGGTACGTCGTAGGCAGGAAGCACAGAAAGCAAGGCCCTGAGCTGGAACAAGGTCAGTAAGTGGGGAGCAGAGTAGGGGGTGAGGAGTGGACCAGGAGGAGGCGGACGAGGGAGGCCCAGCTAAGCCTCATGGACTTTCTTCTAGGGGCTAAAGGTCACATCCCTAGTGAGTAATAGAGCAGGCATTCAAACACCTGGTCAGCCAGGAAGGCTTGATCTCTCACCTTTGTCCCAGGATGATCCCCAACTCAACACGCTTGTTGGGAATGTAGGTCACCCGAGAGAACTCAGAAAGCCCCCAGCCATGCCTGGCACAAGATAAACACGTGACCAGTGCTCCCTCGCTCCTGGTTTTCGTGGAAAGGTTTGATCCCCTCACGTGGTCACTGCTGATTGATCACTCTAAAGGAATTCTTCTTTATTCACAGGTAATGCTTTGAGCCTGCCAGCTCACTTTAACGTAAATATGACTGTGCCCACTTTCTTTTGATTAATATGTCTTTACTTGTATTTTTAGCCTCCTGGTATCATCTTGGTCCTGGGTCCTTGGTCCTAGCCCCTGGCTTAAAATGTTATTCCATATTTGTATCTAATCCACCCTTTACCCTTGACCTCCACGTTTGACTGTCAGCTGCCTATACCGCTTCTCAGATGTCCAGGCTGCATCTCAGGCTCAGTAATCAGAACTGAACTCTCGATCCCCGCCTTCTTCTAATCAATCTATTCCCACCCCCCACCCCGCCCTCAGCTCCTCCATCTCTATAAAGGCCACTACGGTGTACCTCGTTCCTGAAGCTGAGACCCCCCCCCAGGTCTTCCTGGTGCCTCAGTCCCCCTAGCCAGCCTGTCAGCAGGCCCTGTTGGTTTGGCCTTCCAAACAGGACCCGCGTTCCCTGCTCTCTGTCGCCCTTCCCACCTGTGCCGTCCAGTCAACCTCTCGCTCACCTGGCCATCAGAGTGGCCTCCCAAATGGTCTCCTTCCTCTTTGCTCCCCTACATCCCCCTTCCACACAGCAGTCTGAAAAAAAGTTTATTAAGTGTCACATGGTGCTTCTGCCTAGAACGTGCCAGTGATTCCTTATTCCGTTTAGAATAAAACCCAGGCGCCTGAGCATGACGCATAAGGGCCTGCAGCGAATCTGGCCCCTGCTTTCCTCTCCAGCCTCGTTTGCCCCCCTCCCCCTTGTTGGCCGTGCTCTAGTTAACACTGGCCTTTCTGTTCTCGGAGCAGGCCAAACACCTGCCTGACTCGGACCTTGGACTTGAGCTTCCTTTCCTAGAACACATTTTCCTTGGCTCCTCATTGCAGCTTTCCGCTCATTTTGCATGTCTCTGCTCAGCTGTCCCTGCGGAGAGCTGTACCCCGCCCTCTTCTTGAAGTACAATGCCCTGGTCCCACGTTTTATTAGTTATCCTTCATCGTCTCACATGTTTGTTTTCCACAGAATGCCAATACCATGAGCAGTTAACATGTTCATTTCGCTCCTTGTCTGACTCTACCACAGGGTGTAAGTTCCATGACAATAGGGGCCCTTTTCATCTTATTTGCTACTGTGCCCTCATTGCCTCATACATAGCGGTTACTTTTTTTTTTTTTTAAGATTTTATTTATTTATTTGAGAGAATGAGAGAGAGAGCATGAGAAGGGGGAGTGTCGGAGGAAGAAGGAGAGGCTGATCCTGAACCCAGGACTCCAGGATCATGACCTGAGCTGAAGGCAGTCGCTTAACCAACAGAGCCACCCAGGCGCCCCACTTTTTTTTTTTTTTTTTTGGTAAAGATTTATTTTTTATTTATTTTATTTTATTATTTTTTTTTTAAGATTTTTAAATTTATTTATTTGACAGAGAGAGACACAGCGAGAGAGGGAACACAAGCAGGGGGCGTGGGAGAGGGAGAAGCAGGCTTCCCACGGAGCAGGGAGCCCGATGCAGGGCTCGATCCCAGGACCCTGGATCATGACCCGAGCCGAAGGCAGATGCCCAACGACTGAGCCACCCAGGCGCCCCTATTTTATTTTTTTAAGATTTTATTTATTTATTTATTTGACACAGAGAGAGAGCACAAGCGGGGGGAGAGGGAGAAGCAGGCTCCCAGCTGAGCAGGGAGCCCAATGTGGGGCTCCATCCCAGGACCCTGGGATCATGACCTGAGCCGAAGGCAGATGGCTAACTGAGCCACCCAAGCGCCCCAAGATTTATTAATTTTAAAGAGGGAGAAAGACCGAGTGGGGGGAGGGGCAGAGGAAGAGAGACTCTCAAGCGGACTCCCCACTGAGCACGGAGCACAACACACGCTCATTCCATCTCACGACCCTGAGATCATGACCTGAGCTGAAACCAAGAGTCAGACACTCAACTGACTGAGTCACCCAGGCACCCCTAAGTGTACAGTTCGGTAGTGATAAGTATATTCACATTATTGTGTAACCAATCTCTACAACTTTCTCATCTTAAAAAATTGAAACTCTATACCCATTAAACTCAACTTTTGATAGATCATTTTGTATGTTTTTTAATGTTTCCTTTCTGTTTTATTCATGTAAAGTTTCTGGACCAGCAGAGCTGAGGGAACCCAGACTTGAAGTGAAGCAACTCTGCTGAGGTGAGCCTCCTTGTGAAGTCCTGTCTGAGCCAACAGCAGGCCCTTGTCCCTGACACCTCCGGGTCCACAGGGCTCCAGGGGCCCCGTGGGAGATGAAGGTAGCCATCCATTTCCCCCCTTGAAGGATTGGCCGTGGCACTTACGCACGTACTGGGTCATCCTCACCCAAATGGCTCTATGCCTGGCCATTTGGAATCCCTACCGAACAGTGGGAAAGCTGTTCCCATAAAAGGAGTAGACGGGGGGCGACTGGGTGGCTCAGCTGGTTAAGCAACTGCCTTCGGCTCCGGTCATGATCCTGGAGTCCCGGGATCGAGTCCCACATCGGGCTCCCTGCTCGGCGGGGAGTCTGCTTCTACCTCTGACCCTCTTCCCTCTCGTGCTCTCTATTTCTCATTCTCTCTCTCTCAAATAAATAAATAAAAACCTTTAAAAAAAAAAAAAGAAGGAATAGACGGCTTTGAAACCCTGGCCATTCTTATACAATGGAACACTGCTACAGTTTTCTGGAGGGCAGTTTGATAGAGTGTGTGTCAAAAGCCTGACCCAGTAGTTGACTGGGATTTTATTTTAAAGGAAAATAAAAACATGTCTGGAAACAGATACACAGGATGTTCACTGCAACAAACAGATATGAAATTGGCAACAACCTATATGTTACTTATTTATTTAGAGAGGGTGAGCGGGGGGCGGGGCAGAGAGAAAGAGAGAATCCCGAGCGGACTCCGAGCTGAGAATGGAACCCGACATGGGGCTCAATCCCACGACCCCAAGATCATGACCTGAGCCAAAATCAAGAGTCCGATGCTCAACTGACTGAGCCACCCAGGCGCCCCGGAGCATGTGACTTCTAATCTCAGGGTCGTGAGTTCCAGTCCCACATTGGGCATAGAGATTACTTAATTTAAGAAAAAAAAAAAAAAGCTGGGGCACCTGGGTGGCTCAGTCGGTTAAGCGTCTGCCTTCGACTCAGGTCATGATTTTAGGGTCCTGGTTGAGCTCCGTGTCAGGCTCCCTGCTTACTGGGGAGGCTGCTTCTCCCTCTGACCTTCCCTCTCCCCTTCTGTCTCTCTCAAATAAATAAATGAAATCTTAAAAAAAAAAAAAAAGCTGAATGTAAATGATTTTTTTCCGGGCATTGGAATAAGGGTCGTATTTTATGTTTATTTTTTTCTTCCATTAAGAAAGTTTACTCAATAGGGATGCCTGGGTGGCTCAGCCAAGTAAGCGTCTGCCTTCCACTCAGGTCGTGATCCCAGGGTCCTGGGATCGAGTCCCACATAGGGCTTCTTGCTCAGTGGGGAGTCTGCTTCTCCCTCTCCCACTCCGCCTGCTTGTGTGCGTGTGCACCCTCTCTCTGTCAAATAAATAAAATCTTTAAAAATAAATAAATGTCTAGAAATGGGACAACATCATGTATTTTTCACCTCTTATGATTGTTTCAGGTCAGCACCATGGCCGCTCCACAGGATTCAAATGAGACTTCCTATCTGTTCCCTCCAAACAGTAAGGACTGGGAAGAGCAAGGCATTCCTGACTTTGTCTACGGGCAGAAGGAACTTGTTCTGGAAGGGATTCAGTGGCCTAGGACTGCCCCCAGCCTCCTGGACACAACACCGTGGTCTCGCTTCGACTCTGCTCTCTGCTCCGCCTGGAGGCAGCGGATGGACCTGGGGCTCTTCCGCTACCGCCTGGGGGAGCTGCAGACCCAGACCCTCCCGGGTGCTGTGGGTTTTGTGGCTCAGTTGAATGTGGAGCGAGGTGTGCAGAGGAGGCGCCCCCAGAACATCCGGAGTGTGAAGCAGGCATTTGACCCTGAACAGTTTAACTTCAACAAGGTCCGGCCAGGAGAAGTCCTTTTCCGTTTGCTCCGGGAGCCCGATCTCCCAGGTGCTCTCCAGCAAGAGGACATCCTCGTCATGATCAATGTCAGCCCCTTGGAGTGGGGCCATGTGCTGCTGGTGCCCGAGCCCACCCGTGGGCTCCCCCAGCGCCTGCTGCCAGGTGCACTGCGGGCCGGAGTCGAGGCAGTGCTGCTGAGCTCACACCCGGGCTTCCGCGTCGGCTTCAACAGCCTGGGTGGGTTGGCCTCGGTGAACCACCTGCACCTGCACGGGTACTACCTGGCTCACAGACTGCCTGTGGAGGGAGCACCGAGCGAGCCCCTGGACCCTGGGGGCCGTTTGCATCTGCTCCGGGCCCTCCCAGCTCCCGGCTTCCTCTTCTACACAAGCGGGCCGGGGCCTGACTTGGAAGCCCTGATAAGCAGGGTATGTCGGGCCACCAACTACCTGACCGACCATGAGATTGCCCATAATTTATTTGTGACCCGGGGGGCCCCCCCTGGAAAGACATCACCTTCCTCCGCTCTCACAGGCATCCGAGTAATTCTGTGGGCCCGGAAGTCCAGCTTTGGGGTAAAGGAAGGCGAGGCGTTCAATGTCGCCCTCTGTGAGCTGGCCGGGCACCTCCCTGTCAAAACGTCCCAGGATTTCGGCAGTCTGACAGAGGCAGCCGCTCTGGCCCTCATTCAAGACTGTCTGCTGCCCTCGGCCCAGGCGGAAGAAGTACAGGCAGCCCTGGTGGCCTTGGTAGCCCAGGACAAGCAGTAATCCTTCTAGGAGTATTTATTTTCTACCTGCTCTAAGTCCCTTTCCATGTGGTCATTTGGGCTTCCATGACTGCCACCTTACCCTAACCTGTCTCAGCCCAAGGGGAGGAAACCTTAGAATAAATCGAATGAATGAGCCATCATGAATGTATCTGCTTCTCATTTTTCTTCTTGGACAAGCCTCAGGGATGTCAAACCTGTTACTAAGAAGGGAGTATGGGGGCGCTTGGGTGGCTCAGTCAGTTAGGCATCCAGACTCAGCTCAGGTCATGATCTCAGGGTTGTGGGATCAAGCCCCACATCGGGCTCAGTGCAGAGTCTGCTTGAGGTTCTCTCCCTCTCCCTCTGCCCACCCCCCACACACATTTGCACACATGTGTTCTCCCTAAGATAAATCTTTTTTAAAAAACAAAGAATGCACAAGAGTTACATACCCTGGGGCTCCTGGGTGGCTAAGTCAGTTAGGCGTTTGCCTTCTGCTCAGGTCTCATGATCCTGGGCTCCTGGGATTGAGCCCTGCCTCAAGCTCCCTGCTCAGTGGGGAGCCTGCTTCTCCCTCTCCCTCTGCCCCTCCCTCTGCTCCTGTGTGTGTGCTCGCTGTCTTGCTCATAAGTAAATAAAAATATTTAGAAAAGAGTTAACGTATTCCTGACTTAAGACTTTTCATATCAAGTCTTGACAAAGTAATGGTTTAAGTGCCTCTGGCATTATGCCCCCACTTCTGCCCTCACCTCTGCATGTTCTCCCGTCGCCTGCCTCCAATGACCATTTCTTCATCCCTCCCCTCCATTCGGTCTTGCTCCTGCATAGGCCCTTCTTAGAGCACCTTGCCCTGCCTGGCCAACCTTGAATTTCCCTCCAGCCCCCAGCACTAAGTTGAGTGTACCTCCTGTACATCATCTCGTGTGAAAAAAGGCATCTTCACAACTTGAATACCTCCATTTACCAAGAACAGGCTGGCAGAGCAGAGGTCTGGCAACTTGTCTGAGGCCAGACGGCTCACAAGTGCTGGGGTCAGGACCGCAGCCCCGGTTGTCAGGGGCCAGAAGCTGGCTCTGTGCACTGGTGACTGCCTCTCTAGGCAACGGCCCCCATAGTAGTGGTGGTGTCCTTAACAGGTGACAGGCCCTGAGCTGAGGGTCAGGTCCCTGGGTAGCTGGCTTTCTCTGTCCAGGTCTTGTCTGAAGTTTTTATATAGAATTTTAGAGTTGTATATCCCAGAAGATGTTATAAAGTCTCATTGGGTTAAGGCAGAATATGTACCACGAAAAAAAAGTTCATAAAAAAAAGTTTAACATTTACATTTAAATATTACATATTTGACATTTAAATTCCTATAAAAAATTTGGGGTCAACTTCCTCTTTTTGGCACATCACAGTAATTTTAGCTTATGCTTCTTTCTGTGAGCCTTTGCATATACAAGCTCCAATAGCGTCACTTTGTGTTGCTCGCTCAGTCTGAAGGAAGTACCGATGACCATTACAGCAAAGGGGATTTTGTGTCCCAGGTGATGAGCCCAAATATCAGGTTTTTCCCCCAGGACTGCTGTTCAGAGGAAAGCCTTCTCTGGCCAAACTAAGTTTTTCCATAAGATGGCGGGGGGGCCGTGTGCTGCTGTGGGGCTGTGAAATAGCTTTTCTTTATGGTGGTACTTCTCAGCTGTTTATATAGCTCATGAATTGTCAAGAAGGGAATTCAGAAGCTTTTTCTAAGCTTAAGTGTGGAACACTTAGGGGACCCTCCATACTCACCTTCCAGCACCATAGAAAGATAGGAAGGCATGATCTAGCCCAGCACCTCTCCACCTCTGCTTGCGTTTTGGTTGAGGGCCTATGTAACTAAGGGGTTTTGGATTTAATCTAATGGGAAACCTTGAAGAGTTTTAAATTGGGGAGTATCCAATTTGCATTAGAAAGAATACTTAAGCTGTAATGGATGGGTGTAGAGGAGGGAAGAACAATCAGAGTCCAATTAAGAGGTTGCTGCATGGTGGCAAATTCAGGCAAGAATTGGTGATGGTTCAGGTCCCAGAATAGTGTCTGGAACGCTAAATATTTGTGCAAAGAATGAGAAAAATGATAGTCCTGGAAGGCAAGGGACTCCAAAGCATTTCAAGAAGGGAGTTAACAGAATATATGCTGAAGAAACAGCAAGAAATGTAGGACTCAAACAGTGCCCACGTGTTTTTAAAGGAGGGAGATTTTAAAGTGTGCTCTGGATTTAGGCACACGGGATAGTCTTAAAATGACAAGTTGGACTGAGTTCGGTGGTCGGAGTGTATGGACGTCAGGAGGGGCCGTGAAGGCGACGGTGAAGGAGCGCTATGAGGCAGCCGCTCTGTTGCTCAGCGCAGCAGGGTGAGCGCTGTTCACGGCTGTCCCTCCCGAGCGCCGAGCGCGTTCACCCAGGGCACTACAACACTGCAGGCAGGCAAGCAGGTGTTTGTCCCGAACGCAGACTTGGCCAAATCCCGGGGCCCGGCCCGCGCGTCCGAGATAGGCTGGGGAGAGACGTGTGCGAAGCGCCGCGAACGCGGAAGGACTGCAGGTCCCGCCTGATGCAGCCCGAGAGCTGCCGCAGAGGCGCGACCCCGACGGCGAGGCCAGCACCCCCGGGGCCGGCGTTTCCGCCCGCGCGCAAAATGGCCTCGGCCCGCGCCCAAGTGGGTGTGGTTCCGGGAAGGCCCCGCCCCCAGAACGCTTCTCCAATGGGGGCCGCCCTCGTGTCCATGGCAACAGCGGCGGCGGCGTCTGCTGGCTTGCTCAAGGAGGCGCCGCCGCCGCCGGGATCTCCGAGCTAGGAGCGAACCCCGCAAGGGGCGGGGGAGCGGGCTCCCCCTCGCAAGCGGCGGGGACAGCCAGTCCTGTGGAACAAGGAGGCGGTCCCGGAGGCCCAGCGACGCCCGGGAAGGAGCAGGAGCCGGGCGAAGGGTGGACATGAGCGACCACCTGAGACCAGCCTCGGACCGCTAGGGGCGGACCCAGCAGCCCCTCCCCTCTCCTCGGAATCTCGGGTGGGCAGTGTCCGCCAGGGGCTCCCCCTCTGCCGGCAGAGCCCAAGGGGTCTTAGCCATCAAGTGCCAGTGTGTACACATGGAGAAACCGAGTCATGGGACAGGGAAAGGGCCGGCTTAGGGGACCTCTGGTCTTCAGCTCTATTTTAAAATCGAAGTTCCCCCCAAAGCCCAGCCATCCCCCTTCCCATTCAGGAATAAAAAAGCCATGGTCATGGTGCCTGCCAGCTCTGTCCAGCTTCTACGTGCACCCCAGTGTGTCGTATGGAGGGGTGATCTTGGATGATCAGGGATTGTCGGGGAATCCCACATTTCACAGGCATTTCCCGGCCCCCATTACCTACTCGGAAACCATCCCATTCTGCAGTGGGATTGTTCTGTTCTGAGGGGGCAGCAACGTTCCCCTATAACACCATGAAGGAGGCCCTTTGCACCGACTCCTGCAGGCCTTCCTGGGCCTGGAGGAAGGAAGCTCTGATACATATTTCACTCTCACCCTCTCTCCTCAGAACCTAAGAGGATGGAGCCAAATACCTGTAAGACCAGCGAATCGGAGGAAGACTACGTTGAGGAAGAGGAATCCGAGGAGGAATGTGTTCAAGGGGAAGCTACCATCCCTTCTGACTCTCCTCAGCAGGAACTCTCAAAGGCTGACTATAAGGAATTTGGGGATGGAGTTCCCTTATCTATTGTAGCCAAGAAAATTCCAAAGAAAATCATAGCCCCAACTGACTCAGATGACTTAGAAGTTGGGAGGAGAAAGAGAAGGCGGAAACGCAGGTAACAGACAGGTGCCTGGGCCCCCTCACCTGCCTGGCTCCAGAAGAGAGTCACCCCTTGGCCTCCCTTCAGCAGTTGGGGGGTCTTCCCTTTAATCTGCAAAGGAGGACAGGGAATACAGGAACATCATTAACCTTTTGGTAGTACAAAAACACAAAATTCTGAACCATTTGAGCTGGCTTGGTTTGCATTTTCAGCACATTTCTATCATCCTGGTCTTGAAGTGGCTTTCAGAGAAAATGAATTGCATTGTAGATGTGTCGGGTGCCTCGCAGCCCAGGGTCTGTCCTTTCTCCCACTTTGCCTGATTTCCGCTATTCCTCCATTCCAGACCCCTGGCCATCAACCTGACCAACTGCAAGTATGAGAGCGGTAAGCACCCAGCTCACTCACACACCACTGCGCATAAGAGGGCACATGCAGGTTTTGCTCGGGGGATGGTCCCCCAGTCAGGCTCCCAGCCCCTGTACCTTGTTAGGCTGGCCTATAACTGAGCTACTAGCAGCTGAGATACCACTGTTCCACTTAGGCTTAGTGGTAGGGTGGAAATCCCCCAGTTAGCTAGCAAGGAAAAAAGTGACTGAAGGTCACCATTGCCCTGCCCTCCCCAGATTTTACCAGAATTGAGATGAGAACAGGTCAACACGGTTTTTTTTCCAAGGAAGCCCTTGAGGGGGCTTCAGGAATTAAAAGAAAAAATTGACCAGCTAGATCAGCTATCTTTTCATCTCCTCCTGTGCCCACTGCCATCACCACGGGGCCACCCAGTGTGGGAGGTGCCAGTGTGACCCCTCCAGAGGGTCGGCTCTGCAGGTCAGAAACCATCCCAATTGAGAGAGAGAGGACTGACAGGAGCAGAGAGCCAGGCTCTAGTTTTCTCTGTCACAGATTTTGGAAGGGCCCTGACAGCCTCATGACCTTGGAATTGTCACATGGTAATTAAGCTGCAGCACTGAGGTAAGAACCACCTCCATCTTCAGCCCACTCTCTGGTCAAGCCTCTTCCTTACCTGACCCAGCTACAATCCCAAGGCTTGCTGCCAGTGTCTCGGCTGGCCCCATTGATCTCCCTCTCTCCACAGTGCGTCGGGCAGCCCAAATGTGTGGCCTGAAGGAGGTGGGGGAGGACGAAGAATGGACTGTGTACTGGACAGACTGCTCTGTCTCACTGGAACGAGTCATGGACATGAAGAGGTTTCAGGTACAACCTCCGGACCCAAGAGCCTAAAGAGGCCATGGTCCCTGAATGAGTCCTCCTGTCCTTCTGCTTGGGCACCTGCAGCTGCCACCCTCTGTGGCTGTCCCCCTGGGCAGAGCAGGAAAGGCCATGGCCAGGGCTTCTGCTCCCCTGGAAAAATCCTCCTCTTGGGTTTCTGGAACTTCTCTTATAGGAAGGAAGTTTCTGCTGGGCACCGTTTGCCTGAAGGCATCTGTGCCCAGCTGGCCCCCTTCAGGGCAGGTGAGCCCACCTAAGGGGAAGGCTGGAAGGGAGCTTCGGTGCTAATAGCCGGGCCAGGAGAGTGATCCAGCTTCTAAGCAGCTTAGCCTAGCAGCCGCATCCACTGAGAGTCAGTGTGGGGTTCTGCACAGCAGCAAGAAAGTCAGGAAGGATGGCCCCTCAAAAAGAATATAACCTCAAAAAAAAAAAAAAAGAATATAACCTCTTCATGGCATTTTTGTTATCCTCTAATTGTGTCTTTTTTTTTTTTTTAAGACTTTATTTTTAAGTTAATCCCTATACTCAACATGGGGCTTGAAATCAGAACCCGGAGATGAAGAGTCACACACTCCACCGAACGACTGAGCCAGACCTCTAACTGGGTCTTTGTGGTGGTTAGCAACACAAGAATGTGAAAAGGTCTGCAGGCTTAGTTTGAGGGGAAGCCAGGAAGGGAGTTGAGGAGACTGTAACTTGTCCTACAACAAGTCACGGGAGAAGAGCCCGAGAGAGAGACAGAGAGTGAACTCGAAGTGCTTGAGAAGCCCCAAGGAAGGGACACGCAGGGAGCAGTTGGAAGATGAGCAAGACAATAATTAACAGCATTCCTTGACGATGTACTGAATGTCAGTTACTGTATTAAGTGCTTTTACACTCTTACCTCATTAAATCCTCAAAAACAACCCTGAGTGGCAGATACCCTTTTGTTAAGAGGACACCAAGGCTCAGAAACACTAATTTTCTGCAGCTAGCGAGTGGTAAAGCCAGTGAGACAGCCCAGAACCAATGCGAGATGCTGCCTCCTGGCATTGGGGTTCCAACGGGCACCCTGGCATCGTCATATCCTTGCGGGGGGGGGGCGCTGTAGCAGGGCATTCCTGGGACTGCTTCTCAACTTCCTTTGCTCTTTTGGAAAATGGTTTCTCATTTGCTTGTGCTCCCATGCACCAATTATTCTTATAGGACGAGTCTCTGGCGGTCTGGGGGATGTTATAAGGTGGCTAGAAGGGCCAAAGTCCTGGCAAATCCTTCTTGCTGCCCCTCATTTCCTGACCTCAGGGTGGACGTGTGTTTTGGGAGAGGCCAAGGAGGCCAAGGTTCTCACTTGCCTTATGGAACCTTCCTTTTCTCCCTTAGGGTATTGGGTACAGTGTTTACCCCCATCGTGACTTTTTTTTTTTTTTTAGGATTTTATTTATTTGAGAGAGAGAGAGAACATAAGCAGGGGGGGAGGAGCAGAGGGAGAGGGAGAAGCGGACTTCCAGCTGAGCGGGGAGCCCAAGGCGGGGCTTGATCGCAGGACCCTGAGATCATGACCTGAGCTGAAGCCAGACGCTTAACCAACTGAGCCACCCAGGCACACCCCCCCTTTTTTTGAGAGAGAGAGAGAGCACACGTGCATGTGTTTGTGGGGGGTAGGGAGTGAGGAACAGAGAGAGAGGGAACGAGAAAGAATCCCAAGCAGGCTCCACGCTCAGCACAGAACCCAATGAGGGGCTCGATCTCAGGACACTTGAGATCATGACCTGAGCTGAAATGCAGAGTCGGATGCCTGACCGACTGAGCCACCCAGGAGCCCCATCCACTGTGACTTCTACCTTGACCTTTCCAGTCCTCCTGGTATGCCCAAGGCCCCAGGGACTGCTGCTTACTCTGCTGGGTAGATAACCAACTGACTCTGTTTCAGAAAATCAACCACTTCCCTGGAATGACAGAAATCTGCCGCAAAGATCTGCTGGCTCGGAACCTCAACCGCATGCAGAAACTCTATCCTACCGAGTACAACATCTTCCCCCGCACCTGGTGCCTCCCTGCAGAGTGAGTGAGCCCCTGCTCCCCAGGCTCATATCCTTGGGGAAGAAAGGTTTCACCATCTCGTTCCCTCCAGACTCTGGCCTTGTGACCTGGAAAGTCTCAAGGGATGAGAGTTTCAGCTGGTCTAAGAAAAGGAGGTCTGAGACAGAGGCTCCAGGAAGAGTGTGCACAGGACAGCAGAGCTCCACAGGGCCTGGCTCCGCTGTGATGCACAGAAGCCTTCTGACCAGCCTCTCTCTGCATGTAGCTTTGGGGACTTCCAGTCCTATGGTCGTCAGCGAAAAAGCCGCACTTACATCTGCAAGCCAGACAGTGGCTGCCAGGGACGGGGCATCTTCATCACCCGAAATCCCCGGGAGATCAAGCCAGGAGAGCATATGATCTGCCAGCAATACATCTCCAAGGTGAAGGGTGCCTCAGAACCACCAGGGCCCTCCCCGAGCCCTGGGGCGCCTCATCTCTCCCCGTGCCAGAGAGGAAGCCAGCCTACTCTTCGGCTCCTACCCTTCCTGCTGTTTGCCCTTAACTTGGAGGCAGTCCAGAGCCATGGTTCAGAGCCAGCCTGTCTGGGTCTGAATCTGAGTTTTCCCAGTTCTTAGATGTGTGATCCTGGGCAATTTCTTATTCTTTCTGTGCCTTAGTTTCTTCATTTGTTGAATGGGAATGATAGCAGTAACTACTTTATGCTTCATATGGTTACTATGGAAATTAAATGAGTTATCATGATTTGAAATGCTTACAGCAGTGCATGGGATAGAATGAGCACTTCAAAGGTTTTCTTCCCTGGCGGGTTTGCATGCTTTCAGCCCTTCCTCATTGATGGCTTCAAGTTTGATATGCGAATCTATGTCCTGATCACATCCTGTGACCCTCTTCGGATCTTCATGTATGAGGAGGGCCTGGCCCGCTTTGCCACTATGCCCTACGTGGAGCCCAGCCACAGCAACCTGGTAAGGGGCCAGCTAGCAGTCCTGGGGGGCAGGGCGGTGACCTCTTCTTGGGAGCACAGAGGTTCTATGGAGAAACCAAGTAGAGAGGCTTATCATTGTCATCCGTGAACTGGGAATGAACCAGTGAGCACCCTGGCACCTGGCGGGGAGGAGAGCATTTGGTGGGTGGTGACTACTGCAAGGTCCTACCTGGAGGAGCCTGGCCTACATCCTTCCCCAGGAGCTTATGGGACAGTTCTTAGGTGAAGAGGGACAGGAGATGAGCCGTCCTGGGGAGGGATGGGTAATAAAAAGGCAACGAAGGGCTGGAGAGGGGTGCTGCAGGGAAGCAGTCTGAGCCACAGGGCCACTCTCTTCCCAGGATGACGTCTGCATGCACCTGACCAACTATGCTATCAACAAACACAATGAGAATTTTGTCCGAGATGATGCTGTGGGCAGTAAGAGGTACTCCCTCTCTGATTACTCTTTAGCCCTACAGTCTCAGCAGCCCATGAAACTGAGCTGGCTCTTGGGAGGCCAATTGCTCAGGAAAACCATCTTTACAGACCCCTGTCTTGTGCCTGACCTCTAAGTGCAGCCCCCGCCCCCTCCACCGTAAGTAAGCCCCACTTCAAGCTCTCACGTAGGCGCCCGGAAGTAGGGTTAATGGTAGGGACCCTCCTGTCTGTGGCCCAGACCCACTGGTGTAGAAATGGGTCCTCCTCTGAGCACTGGGCCTCGCAGGAAGCTGTCAACGCTCAACGCCTCGCTGCGAGAACATGGCTACGACCCCCGAGAGCTGTGGGGGGACATCGAGGACATCATCATCAAAACCATCATCTCAGCCCATTCTGTTCTTCGCCACAACTACCGAACCTGTTTTCCCCAATATCTGACTGGAAGTACATGTGCCTGTTTCGAGATCCTTGGTTTTGACATCTTGCTGGACCACAAGCTGAAGCCCTGGCTGCTAGAGGTGAGGAATGTCTTTTGGGCTTTGCCAAACCAAGGTCCAGAGGCCACCCTGAACAGGATGCCTGGGGTAGGAGTGCACTCAGTTGGTAGAACACAGAATGGGGGACGTGGTGGCACTGGGTGGGGATGAACCGGCAGAAGGTGCTTTCCACCTGCTGAGCCAAATCTTTGTGGTCTCTGGCCTCCACCATAGGAATCCAGGATTTAGATCCCAAGTGTTTCTCATGTAATCTTCATCTTTAGGGACACACTGTCTATAGAATCAGGCTGTCTACTTTGCTCCCATCAGCCTGTGTGTTGGAGGGATCTCTGTGGCAGAGTCCTGTGGCCTTGAAAGTCAGAAACACCCAGCCCCCTTGGCTGAGGCCTCTGTGGGGGGATGTCTTGACTAGAGCCTCCAGTCAGGCCTGCAAGAGACCACACCTGCTTGCGTGGTCTAGGAATGGGGTGGATAATGACTCCTCCTGGCAGGTAAACCACTCTCCAAGTTTCACCACCGACTCCCGCCTTGATCGAGAAGTGAAGGATACACTTCTCTGTGATACCATGACCCTTGTCAACCTCCGTGGCTGTGACAAAAGGAAGGTGATGGAGGAAGACAAGCGGCGAGTCAAGGAGCGGCTTTTCCAGGGCCACCAGCAGCCACGAGAAGCCAGGTGCTCCAGGTGTCTGAGTGGTCTTGTTAGCACTGGCCTGGGTGTAAGAGTGCTACTTTAGGTGGTGAAAGTGGTCTGGGGCTGATGAGCTATGAAGAATAACATTTCTTCTGCATAGATAATATATTACCTATCATAGACAATATGTTCAAAATTCAAAAGATACTGTGAATAATCTCTTAACTCTTCTCCAGCTACTGTATCCCCCCCTGGAGGAGCTAATCTATGTTCCTAGGGTCACATGTATACTTTCACAAACACTTACTGCATACGTACCTACATATATACATATATATTTATACAGATTGTTCTCCGTTTACCCAGACAATAGTGTAACTTTCACACTCTCTGTACCATGCTTAGCAGTGTCGTTTGGAGCTATTTCATATTAGCACATAAGGAGCTTTATGCCGTTTGACGAGCTTTTTGTTCTTGCTTTTGTTTTTTTGACAAAGCTCCTCTAGAAAGTTTATAATAATGAAACAGAAAACAGTTTAGTCATTCAATAATAAGGGATTGTTAAAATCAGTCTTTTTCACCCACTGTTGCTTTCATTGTAAGATGGGTTACCAACATGGTGATTTGTTGCTGAAACTATAATGTTAATAATACGTACAAATGAGTTGGAGTAGATTTAGAATTATTCCCATAACAACATTGCTCTTTGCCACCTGCATTGCAATATGCAGGGCCAGTGTGTATTTGTTTTGTCATGATTTCCTGAGGGCCTGGCACACAGTAGGCACTCAAATGTGTGAATGGAGGGGAAGTATAACTATAAATATGCTGGGGATTCCCACAGTGGGACTGCACACGTGACTGTATGAATCACGTCCTTCAGCAGGGAAAAGGGCTGAAAACTACTGGACTTATTAAACAAATATACAGGGGCGCCCTGTATGTTTAATAAGTCCAATAGTTAAATAGGCTTCCTAGTATTCAAGTGATTCTATGAGTGTATGTGACTCTTGTTCTCGGGGTTGTGAGTTCAAGCTTCCCGTTGGGTGTAGAGATTACTTAAAAATAAAATCTTTAAAAAAATAAAAAAATAGGGGCGCCTGGGTGGCTCAGTTGTTAGGCATCTGCCTTCAGCTCAGGTCATGATCCCAGAGTCCTGGGATCGAGCCCCGCATTGGGCTCCCTGCTCCATGGGAAGCCTGCTTCTCCCTCTCCCACTCCCCCTGCTTGTGTTCCCTCTCTCGCTGTGTCTCTGTCAGATAAATAAATAAAATCTTAAGAAAATAAATAAAGTACAATCATAGAATCACTTGAATACTGGAAAGCCATTTTAAAATATTGTTGTATGATCCCATTTTTGTCTGAAACAAGAAAGGACGGAAGGAATAGAGAAAGAGCAAAGTAGTGAGTAGCAAAGCTGGGATTCAGACTTGGGGGTCCTGCCCCTGAGTCCATGCTCATAACCAATATACTAATTGCACAGTAAGATTATGGGAGGTTTGATCTTCTTTTTGTGCTTCTGCTTTTTCTGTAATTAACATAGATTACTCTATAATCAGAAACCTAAAAGACTGTGATAACTTGGGAGTACTAGCTTATGAGGGGACCCCTTTGCACTTAAGAGGAAAACCCGATTTCTGGAAGTCAAGCCTCTATTTCCATGGCTACACACAGGTGGGATTGGCCAAATGGCCTTGGCAGCTTTCCCTACATGGGAAAGGCCATGAAGCTAGCAGGAGATCCTCAAGGCCTCGGCCAGCCTTCCTTTCCTCACTGAACGTTCTCACAATCCTCTGACTCACTCTGAGCTTGGTTTCCGTAGGCGAGAACAAATTGAGTCGTCCCACGCAGCAATACTGGACCAGGAGCGCTATGAGGATTCCCACCTCGGGGGGTACCGGCGGATCTACCCTGGGCCTGACACGGAGAAGTACACACCTTTCTTCAAGCACAATGGCTCCCTTTTCCAGGAGACTGCTGCTTCCAAGGCCAGAGAGGAGTGTGCCAGGTACTCTGGCTTTCATTCTCCTCTGTCCACTTGGGTGGGGCATATCCTGAAGCTGACTGGCTCCCCAGCAGGGCAGAGAGGAAGCCGGACACTTGAGCAAAGAGGAATGAAGTCATACATCCTATCAGACTCTTAGTGACTCCATTTCCACTTAGGAGGTTTCCCATCTTCCCCCTCGTTCTTCTCCCTTCAGTCTCCTCAACAGATCATAATTCCCCACTCTCCCATCCCCACTTTCCCTCACCCTGCTTCTCCCCAACACAATTTCTCCAGCATCTGAAGCTGCTGTGTCTTATCAGGCAGCAACTGGAAGAGATCCGCCTTAAGCAGGAACAGCAGGAGACCTCAGGCAGTAAGAGGCGAAAGGAAAACAGGGACCAGAACCAGGGCGAATCAGCAGGGGAGAAGAGCAGATCCAGGGCCCGGCTCCAGGGACTTTCCACCCACTTGGCTTACCGGAACCGGACCCGGGAGAAAGAGGTGTCAGGGGTTTGGGAGCTCTTGCCTTTCTGCAGGAAATGGGTTGGGACTCCTAGAGAAGGGAATCTTTGCTGTCCTCTCCTCCTCTTGTAAAAGAGAGGAGTTCCTAATGAATACACTGGATCTGGCCTGGTGGACCAGGAGGTGAGAGAGAGAACGATAGCAGAGAACCTTCCGCTAGGGTCAGGGAAGAGATGGGAGGGTGGGTAGAGTGGGCAGGAGTCCCGCAGCCATCCCTGTTGATGGTGTGGGCCTCACCCTTGGAGATCTTGCATTCATCTCTCATGTATCTCATAGCTGCTACCGGTACACCTGGGTACCAGGCATCCTCAGGAAATCGTGGAAGAAGAGGAGCTGGAGCGAGTGAAGGCCCTGCTGCAAAGGGAGAATCTCATCCGAAGCCTTGGTATTGTAGAGCAGCTCACGCGCATGCTGCACCCCAGCCACCAAGGCCAGAAAAAGCTTCATGAGTATCGGGTGAGGGTCCCTCCGCAGCCTCTCACAGAGCAAAGGAGGAAGGGCTGCAGCAGCACATGGTGGTGGTCACAGCACAGGCCGTAATGTGATGGTATCTGGCACGGAGCCTGGGAAAGCAGAGTATGCTGGGTGTTGGGAGAGGGTCTCTGGGTTCCTTTTGCACTTGTTCCCAAGCTCATTTGTAGTAATGACATCTGGCAAAATGCAGCTCCCAACCTTCTCCTAAGAGACCTGTTCTCTATATTCCAGTCTTGCAATAACCCCAAACCCATGACTGACAAAGAACAAGGCCACCACCCTCGGTGGCTTCTGTGTAATCTCTTCCTAGCACTGCCAGTACCACGGCTCTAATGGGTGATAAGTAAACAGACTTGGGCCAACAGAACAGCTGCTGCATTCACTATTCCCTGGGCTAGTAGCAAGCCTATTGGGTCCTCAGTTTTTGCTGAGCTCCAAAGGAGTTAACAGGTTAAATAGTGGCCACAGCCTAGGTGCTTCAGTTACCTATTTTCTCACACCGTTCCATCCAGCCTCACAAGAAATGTGGTAAGGGGCTGCTCTTCTCCTCTAGCCTAGATTTCACCAGGACGGGCTGGGCAGTCAAGAACTGCAATCTGTGAGTCTGGTCCCATTGGTCCTCCTGAGAGGGGCCGCCAAAGAGCAGGGCCGCCCTCATTTCCTGCATCCAGTTCGGGCCCATGAATTGATCCCCAGGATCTTAGGGCCACTACCAACCATGAACGCTGCAATTCCACATCATTCCTGGTGCCACCTACAGCCCAAGAACTTCAACTGGATAGGAGATCCAGCAGCCATCGGCCCCTGTTCATTGTCAATGAAGACATCTGGAAGGCGCTATTTTTCCAGTGCCAGAGTCAGGCTCACTAGCCGTAAGTATGCGAAATTAGCTTTGGTCACTCTGACTTGTGTAAATTCCCACTAGCAAACATTACAGCTGGGATGTTCCCAAAATATAACATGGCACTTCCACCAGTGTGGAAATGGGATAGGTAGTGGACCCTGGTAGAAATGGCAGAAGTACAGTCCCAGCACTCAACAAACAGAACAGGGAAACAGACAAGTAAACACACAATTACAATACAGTGTGGTAAAGATGCTGGAGGGGAGCATGGGATCCCATTCCTCTGTGTTGGTAATTGGGCAACAGTTGGTAAAGAGGTGAGCGAATCTCCTGTGAATACCAACTCAGGGGACCCATGTTTCCACTGCAGAAGGCCAAGCCAGCAGAAGGCTAGAAGCCATAAACAGAGCCCTGGCAGGATCAGTGCCATCCTCTTTAACCCCAAAGCAGGGGTATCTTCTGCAACCAGAAAGAGTGGCAAGTGGCTCATGGACTGAATGCGCCTTGCCCTCCGCGGTAGACTCTGAACACAGAGCACCCAAGGCCGGGGATCTCACTCTCTGCCCTGCCTCTGCACCCCTGATGCTGCGCACCACCGCCCTCCTTGACATCAGCCACCATAGGTAAATGCAGGATGGAAGCCCAGCGCTCAACCTCTCCTGGAGAGCCCCCTCAGGTTTCCAAAGGAGCAGAGGGCCTTCAATCTTTGCTAAATGAAAGACTGCCACCAAGCTTCAGTTTGAAAAGCCCTGGCCAGGAACCCTGTTTGCACAGGGCAAAACACAAAGACACCAAGAATTCCTCAATACCCTAAGATTATTTTCAGATCCGTAAAGACTAAAAGATGAAGAGGAGCCAGGGTCGGCCATGGACTCATCCCCGCCCTTCAAACCTTATCCTGGATTTATTGCTAGGTGATGGGTCTGAACCCCGGGTGCAGCCCGGGGCTAGAGGTCATCCTGGCGACAAGGAGCCCCCTTCCCAGAGGATCCGAGTGCCCAAGGCACGGGGCTGTCGCCATCAGAGGACCGCCGAGGGGACGCCCTTTCCGCCGCCGTGGCGGGAGACAGGCCGGCCTGGGCAGCCGTTGGGGCGGAGGGGCGGTTCTTGGCAAATGAATCCGTCTTTTTATTAAAGTTTATGGCGTTTCGCAGGAGCGTCCTCTACCTCATTCCGGCCCTTGCATTTCAGGCTCAATACTCTCCACATTCGCTGCCGGGAAGGGTGGGCCGCACACGGGTTCAAGCCCAGATATCCCGCCCCCGGCCGGAAGCGGGAAAGACCCGCGGCCATCCCTGCTTCCGGCCCGCCTGTCCACTTCCGGCCCCGCCCCCAGGCTTCCGGTACTGCGTGTTTCGGGCTGCCGAAGGCTGTTGTCGACATGGCGGTTACTCTGAGCTTCTTGCTGGGCGTGCGTGTACGTGCTGCTGTTGCTCGCTGTGGGTTCGCGACCTGGGGGGTGGCAGACCCCGGCTCTCTCGGCCGCGAGCCGGACCCCGATTCCGACTGGGAGCCGGAGGAGCGGGAGCTGCAGGAGGTGGAGAGGTACCGGCTCCTTCCCGGGCCCCTCAGCCTGAAGTAGGGCTGCGCGCCCCTGCGCTCCAGGCCGCGCCCCCTTGGAGCCGGGCGTCGTGCCGCCGCATCCGCCTTAGCCCTTGTTTCTTATCCGTTGTCAGGGGCGCAGGGGCAGGCGTGCGGCTCCTTTGGGACCACAGCTTTCTTCACTAGTGACGTATTTCATCACCCGTTTAGAAAGTTCGGCATGCTTACGGGCTGTGTTAGGTATTAGATTTCTGGGGAGGTGTATGGAGCAGGTCTGAGCCAACACACATGGCCTGGTTGCCCTTGCAAACAAAGAGAAGAGGGCTGGGCTCTTTGTGATTTAGCCCGAGGCTCTTTAGCCACCCAGTTTGCTCCCACGCATGGCTTCTCTCCCCCAGCACCCTGAAACGACAGAAAAAAGCCGCCCGGTTCCAGAAAATTCGGAGGCAAATGGAAGCGCCGGGTGCCCCGCCCAGGACCCTGACTTGGAAAGCCATGGAACAGATCCGGTAAGACTCGCTGTAGTTGGGATCTGCTGTGATGAGAAGTGATGGATACGGGGGCCTAGAACGTTATTTTTATATTTTACTTTTTTATCATTAAAAATTTCTAAATGACAGGTGGAATAGCATAACGAATTTCCGTAAGCTTGTCATCTAAATTTAATAGTTTTTAACATTAGGACACAGTTGGTTCGTTTTTGCTGAAATTTTAAAAGAGTAAGCTGCAAGACATCACATCATTTAACCTCAATCGTAGATCGTGACGTTCTTAAGCGAAGGTCAGGGATGGGGGCCTCCATGGTTATGTTATGTACGTTTTTCTGAAGAGAAGATCCCTATCTTAAAAATCATAGAGATCTTTTTTTTTTAAGTCTTACGTTTGTTGTTTTGAATGGACAATACATTACATATGGTTCAAAATTAGAAAATCAGAACAGTGTAATGTGGTATATACATTGCAAAGTTTTAATCCCAGCCAGTCTCCCATGGAACTATTTTTGTGCCTTTTTCCAAGTCTCTTTATGCAAATAGGAGTATGAATATAGATTTTTATTTTCATTTCCTTAATCACAAACAGAATACTGTAAATACTGTTCTACACTTTTCCGTTTTCACATGTTTCTTTTTCTTTACATTTTTTTTTAAGATTTTATTTTCAGATTATCTGTACACCCAACACAGGGCTCGAACTCACAGCCTGGAGATCAAGAGTCTTGTGTACTGATTGAGCCAGGCAGGAGCCCCTTTTCACCTATTTCATAGATCTTTCCACTTCAGAACAGAAAGCTCTTTTTTTGGAGAAATCATAGTAAATCATAACTTTTTTTTTTTTTTTTTTTAAGTAATATCTGTGCCCAGTGTGGGGCTCAAACTCATGACCCTGAGATTAAGAGTTGCATGCTTTACTGACTAAGCCAGCCAGGGGCCCCAGTAATTCATAATTTAGTTAACCAGTCTTTCATGATGTGTATTTGGGTTGTTTGCATTCACTTGCTGTCGCAAATAGTGCTCTCCTGAATATACACGATTCCACGTATCTGCCAGGTGTATTTGTTGTGTACATTCTTTAGAAGTAGAGTTGCTGGGTGCAAGGGCAGATGGATTTGCATTTTGATGAATATTGCTAAGCAGGCTTCCATAAGTTGTGTCCTTTTCCATTCCCATTAGAATGACTCTGAAGTTGACACTTAGAAGGAAGGGGATTCTGTAGAGCAAGGAGATTTTGTGAGCCTGTAGCACCTGTTTCGTGTCATCCTCCTTTCCCCTCTTGAACAACAGCTTTACCAAATCTTCCTGTCACCCCCCTTTCTGTAGTTAATAGATATCCTTTTACTTCAAAGAAAAAACTGACCATTAGTTAAGAGCCCTTTAAAGCTTCTTGGTCTTCCTCTTTATTTCCCGTTCTCAGTATTTACAAACCAGGGGAAGTGGTAGCCCTTTACTTGTCTAGGACCGATCCTCTGCACTAGGCCGTAGTTGTGCCTAACTCCTCAGAGACCTACATCTGTCACCTCAGGTTCTCCTTCGTCCTTTTGTTCCCAGGTAGCTCTTCCTGGCTGCCTGTCCTGGTTTGTTTGGTCACAACAGTGAAACCGTTGTCCACAAATCTTGTCAGTGACTTCCTCACTGCTAAACACTCCTGACACACTAGTCTCCGGCTTTTCTGTCTTTCTTTTTTTTTGTTTTTTTTGTTTTTTTAAGATTTTATTTATTTATTTGACAGAGAGAAAGACGGCGAGAGAGGGAACACAAGCAGGGGGAGTGGGAGAGGGAGAAGGAGAAGCAGGCGCCCCGCCAAGCGGGGAGCCCGATGCAGGGCTCGATCCCAGGACCCTGGGATCATGACCTGCGCCGAAGGCAGTCGCTTAACCATCTGAGCCACCCAGGCGCCCCTAGTCTCTAGCCTTTCTAATGTTTTGGCAGCATTTGATCTTGTAGTGTGTTTTCTTGAAATTAATTCTCTTCTCCTTTGATCCAAGGTACTACTCACTTCTATTTCTTTTTTTTTTTTTTTAAGATTTTATTTATTTATTCATGAGAGAGGGAGAGAGAAGGAGAGAGAGAAGCAGAGGGAGAAGCAGGCTCCCAAGGAGCAGGGAGCCCGATGTGGGGCTCGATCCCAGGACCCTGGGATCATGACCTGAGCCGAAGGCAGACCCTTAACCAACTGAGCCACCCAGGCGCCCACTCACTTCTATTTCTAGAGCTGCTTTTCTCACTTTCCTTCCTGGGCTCCTGTCGTTCCTCCTGTATCTTAAATACTGCTGTTTTTTAGAATTGTGTCCTTGGTCATTCTCTCTCCACCTGTTTCATTCATGTGGCTTCAACCACCCCTGTTCTTCATTTATGACTTCCAAATCTGTCATCTCCAGGCCGTGCTTTTCTTCTGACCTGTATATGTTCAACCACGCACTAGACCATCTCTGTTTGGATGTCACACATGTTTTTCAAACCCAACATAATAAAATAGCAAACTCCATGTAACAAAAGAAAATTGATCATTGTTCCCTGTTGACTTCATTTTGCTCCTTTTTTCGCTCTATCCCTGAATGGTCCCGCCAATCACTCAGGCTGAAAGCCTGAATCTGCGCTGACTTCTACCCCCAGTGTTTAGTCCTTACCAAGCTCTACCATATGGCCTTCCATATAACAGTTCTCAGCTCTCTTCCTTTTCCTGCTTTCTTTGCAGCTGCCGCAGCTCAGACCGCCTGCATTACCGGGACAGCCTCTTGACCGATTTTTCCATCTCTAGTCCTGCCACTGAAAACTACCCCTGGATTGAGCTTCAGAATAAAAAGCTGCTTGTGGCATTCCACTGCTTAAAGTCCTTCCTGTACCTGCATATGGTTTGCCATAGCTTGTGTGTCCTGAATTGCAATTCTTCTATTTTTGAATACACCCACTTAAAAATCCTTCCTTGGTTCACTGTTGCTTTGGGATAAACTCCAGACTTGTAAGCATGACATGATTGTCTTCCTGTCCTCACTGTTGGACAAGTTGAGCTATTGCCAGCAATGGTGATGTACTGCTCTGCATTTTATATGCTGCCCTGGCTATCATCAATACCTTTGATCTCTTCTTTCTCTCCTCCCTAGCTTAGTACTCTTCGTCTTAGTACTCTTCGTCCTTTCACACCAGCTGTAGGTGGACTTCTGAAGCAAATCCCGAGCCACCCCTCAGGTGTTGGGATATCTTATCCCTGGGTGTCTCCTGGGTGCTCTGACAGTATCCTCTCCTAGGACTTACCACACTGGTGTTATATATGTTAATATTCTGTCTCCACCACCAGATTTTATGTTCTTTGAAAGGAGGGACGGTCTTCATGCATCTCCAGGATCTACCAGGGGCCTGGGGGCCTGGTGCACAGTGGGAGGAGTTTAGTTGACAGAAATAAAGTGACTTAGGAGTGGTTGGGTGTTGCTCTCAGCTCACAGGAATGGAATACAGCCATTTAGTGGCACAAGGTAGAGGCTATGTTTGCAGTTCTTCCGAGCCCTTTTCTTTTCACATAAATATCACTAGATTATCAGTTAGCTACTTTGATAGCAGACTACTTCACACCTTGAAAACCTAATCCTTTTTCCCATAGGTATTTACATAAAGAATTCGCAGAGTCCTGGTCAGTTCCTAGATTAGCTGAAGGCTTTGGTGTCAGCACTGATGTGATCCGAAGGGTTTTAAAAAGCAAGTTTGTACCCACATTGGAGCAGAAGCTGAAGCAGGATCAAAAAGTCCTTAAGAAAGCTGGGCTTGCCTACTCACTCCAGCAGCTCCCCAGCTCTGGGGATACCTTGAAGTCGCTATCTGCAAGCCACTCTGGATCAGGCTCTTTGTTGCTGCAAAGGGGTGAATCCTCATTCAGAGGCTGGGGTCACAGCACAGCTTTGCACGTGATAGAATCAAACACTCATGGTACAAATACACCAAGGAGACAGAAGGGAGGGAATAAAGGAATCCGGGTCCTGGAGGAGGAGTGCTCCGTGCCTGTTGCAGCAGCCGTAGGTCATCAGCGAGAGCTGCAGAAATACTCCACCAGTGACGGTGTGGGCAAGAGAGGAACTGATGGTTATGGATTGCCAAGTGACAAACTGGAAGATGTGAAGGCACAGGAGCCAGGTGATCAGAACTTCAGCAGCAAAGTAGTCCAGAGGGGGCGAGAGTTCTTCGATAGCAATGGGAACTTCCTGTACAGAATTTGAGCTGGAGCATGGCTTATGTAGATGCCAAGTGAAACACAGCTGGGAGAGTATATTTGGAGCTGCCTGGACTTCTGTGTATGGATTATCCACCTTGGGATAGGAGGAAATGATGAGCCTGGAATGTGGGAGGAAAGAGCTGCTCATTTGAATCTGACAAAATGCAGTGAACTTCACAGGGCAAATGTGTATGGCAGGGCAGGGTTAATGACTGGTTTGGTAGATTTGTAGCTTCCTGGAACACTGCTCCTGGTCTGACCCACCTGGATCTTTAGTACTCACCCTTCTTGCTTGGGCTCTCTATGTTGAAACTAGCCCATGTTGCATGTATTGTTAGGACACTCTGTGATACTTGCAATATATGTTTGGGAAAAAATGAAAAGTTTGCCTTCTGACCTCACTTACTTCTTGATTAATGAACATTAATAATTCTGGAACTGTTTAGTCAATTGATTGTTTTCATTATGTGCAAAAATAAAGTAAAATGTAGCAGTTTGTGTTGATTGGTGCTCTCTGGGGTGGGAGGGTTTACCTGTGAACCTGGGGAGTGAGGGAGGGAAAGAGGCAAAGGGTGGGTCCCTTGTCCTTGAACGTTAAACACTGGGAGAGGGATGGAGCCTGAGGTGTTCCCAACAAAGGGCCCTATGCAGTTCACCCTGCTTAGTAATAGATTTTGACAGCTAAAAATTGGGCCTTCCCTAATCACCTGGTCTAAAGTAGGTCTTCTTTCCTTCAGTTGCTGGGGCTTTGAAAGAGATTGGAGTATGGGGGGTTGACCCCTCCCCCGCAGAAAAGCAGGCAAAGGCTTTAGGGCCATCAGCATAATCTCTAAGCTACTTTCAAAAGCTTGAATAGCATCTAATTTTACAGTTGTCATCAGATTTTTCCAAGGGAGCTGTGATGTGGGCGAGAACGGGTAATAGGCTCCTTAATTTACCAATTCTTTTAGAAATACTTCATTATAACCAGAAAGTGATGATCAATAGACAAAATAGAATGAGACACATGCAAGCAACACAAGAGTCCGAGGACAGTTTTCAGCCATACCTCATTTTAACAAGTCACTGGCAAAATACTGGTTATTCAGAATTTGAATATATGCAGGATATTTAATGAAAATAATTGATTTTCCAAACTATCATCGAGTCTGTTCATGAATCTCATTGCTATTTCAAATGTCATTAATAGCGATTACAATATCATTGATTACTGTTAACTTGGGCATTTGTTCAATATGAATGGCAAGGCCCTGTCACATGCCAGTCAAAGTTAAGAGAATCCAGGTGCTGGTAATACAGCAGTGGGCAGATGAGGCCCTGTTCTCCCTGCTCTGTCACTATCATGACACTATCAATTTTTTTATGATTTAAAAAACAAGGTAATTTGCCATTAGAACGTTATGGTCATTTTAAGAGGTGGAAGATGCTGTTTGACTAATTTTTAACCCCTGCAAGTCATTTGACTTTCCCCGGTGGGTTATGGAAAATCAGAAGCTATCGTTAAAAAGCTTTGATGTTTTCCATTTACCTCATCCTCTACCATCCTATTGCATACTAAGCTTAAATCTTTTTTCCAGTCTTGCAAATGCCAATCTAAGGTTTTGCACCTACTGGTTCTTTGTCTCCAGATTTTCACATGGCTGGTTCCATGTCATTCAAGCCTCAGGTCAAATGTTACTTTCTTAAGCTTTCCCTAATCACCCAGTCTAAAGCAACGCCCTTCACATTCTATCACCACACCGTGTTTAATATTCCCTGGCATTTGAAATAGATTACTGCTGTATTGTTTGTCATCATGCACCTTGCCCATGGGGGCAGGAGACCTGTCTGTGTTCATTGCTGTAGTTTCAGCTCCCAACATAGATTTCAGTATTGGCTGAGTAAAGAAATGGTTGGAGAAGCTCACCAATCAGCCAGTCCAGTATGGCAGAAAGCCCTGCCTTTTACCTTTGCCAGCCTACCCATCCAGACTTCAGCCAACAAGACCTAAGCTTCCTCTGGGTTGACCTGTTCCTGCTTTATTCCTTTTTAAAGATTTTTATTTATTTGAGTGAGAGTGCTTCCGCGAGTTGGGGGAGGGGCAGAGGGAGGAATCTTAAAGCAGACTCCCTGCTGAGCACACGCCCCCCCCCCCAACTCTGGGTTCCGTCTCACAACTCATGAGATCATGACCTGATCTGAAACTAAGAGTCGGAGGCTTAACCCACTGAGCCATCCAGGCGCCCCTGCTCCTGCTTTATTCCCTCAGCATGTCTCAGATCCTAACTCACCAGCATTGCAGTGTTTTGGGAAACTGCATCCCCTTACCCCAGCCCAAGCTGGAAAGGCGGCTGAGGGATTCACCCAGCCTGTGTTCCAATGGGCTGAGGTCACAGGACTCTCTGGTGCCCTACCCCCAGGCAGTCCTGTTTCCTGACATGATGAAAGACATTGACATCACAACGCGTGAGTTGGAGCTGCACTTTGGGGCATAGTGCAGGGTCTGGTGGAGGAAGCAACAGTTGACAGGGCCCTGCCTAAATTGGAGATAAAGTGGCTGTGGGTGGAATGGACACCTCCTGGTGACCTTGGGGTCAAGCTCAAGAGGCTAGCAAACTAACAGAAGACACTTAAGTCCCTGTGCCTTGGAGGGTCTATGTGTCACCAATCTGCTCAGGGCAGTTATCACCTCTCTGCAGAGATTTGATCTAATGGGGAGGTGGTAGAAAAAGCTCAGTATAAAACACTAGATAAGCTCTTGAAGCCCAAAAGTTTCTTGTTCGTTTTTTGCTTAATCTTGTATTATAGGATTTTCCAAACACAGGAAAGTGGGGATAATATTGTAATGCAATGAACCCTGTGTACACATTGCTCAGCTTTAACATTTAACAAATGGCCAATCTTTTTTCATTATCTCCCATACTTGCCCCACAGCTCCCCGTGGCTTATTTTAAAGTGAATCCTATGGGATGCCTGGGTGGCTTAGTTAAGCGCCTGTCTTTGACTCAGGTTATGATCCTGGGGTCCTGGGGCATCGGGCTCCTTGCTCAGTGGGGAGCCTGCTTCTCCCTCTGCCTGCCACTCCCTCTGCTTGTGCGCTTGCTCTCCCCGCACCCCCCCGCAAATAAGTACATAAAATCTCTAAAAAAAAATGAAGCGAAACCTGTATACTTCATATTATTTCATCTGTAAATAATTATTTCATCTGTATACTATGTATCTGAAAGAGATAAGGACTCTCTTTTTTTTAAAGTTTATTAATTTTTTTTAGTAATCTCTACACACAATGTGGGGATCGAACTGAGGACCCTGAGATGAAGAGTCACATGCTCTTCTGTCTGAGCCAGCCAGGCACCCCAAACTTTTTTTTTTAAGATTTTATTTTTTTAGAGCAGGAGTGAGGAGCAGAAGGGGGACAAGCACACTCCATGCTGAGCAGAGCCTGACTTGGGGCTCAATCCCACGACCCCGAGACCACGACCTGAGCCAAAATCAAGAGTTAGATGATTGGGGCACCTGGGTGGCTCAGTCGTTAAGAGTCTGCCTTCGGCTCCGGTCATGATCTCAGGGTCCTGGGATCGAGCCCCGCATCAGGCTCCCTGCTCAGTGGGGAGTCTGCTTCTCCCTCTCCCACTCCCCGTTTGTGCTCTCCCTCTCTCTCTCTCTGTCAAATAAATAAAATATTAAAAAAAAAAAAAAGATGGGGCGCCTGGGTGGCTCAGTTGGTTGAGTGGCTGCCTTCGGCTCGGGTCATGATCCCAGGGTCCTGGGATCGAGCCCTGTTTCGGGTTCCCTGCTCAGTGGAAAGCCTGCTTCTCCCTCTCCCACTCCCCCTGCTTGTGTTCCTGCTCTCGCTATCTCTCTCTCTGTCAAATAAATAAATAAAATCTTTAAAAAAAAGAAAAAAAGATGATCAACTGACTGAGCCACCCCAGTGCCCTCTTAACTCCTTTTTAACATAGACGCATAAGCCATTACTATACCTTAAAAGTTTTAGTAATTAGTATCAGCTAATATCCTGATCATATTCTCTTACTATTTCATAAATTACTTTTATGGTTCATTTCTTGGAATTAGGATCCAAACAAGGTCCACACATTGCAACGTTGCATGATGTAGCTATGTCCCAGGAGTGTCTTATATTCTAAAGTGGTTTTCCTTTTCACCTTATTCCCCTATTTTACAGGTTATTTGACCCATATATTTCCTATATTTTTGAAAAACTTTTATTTATTTATTGAGAGAGGGCACGAGCGCAGGTGGAGTGGCAGAGGGAGAGGGAGAATCTTAAGCAGACTCCATGCCCAGCATGGAACCGGATGTGACCACCCTGTGATCATAACCTGAGCTGAAATGAAGAGTCTGATGGGAACCAACTGAGCCACCCAGGCGCCCCTATTTCCTGTATTTTGGATATAGTAGGTTTCATTCCTATGATATTTATTTATTGTCATGTTCCTACTACCCTCCATATTTCCTTTCAACTGGTATTTGCATCTTGAGACTTGATCTGGTTCAATTTTTGCAACGTGTGAAGCTTTGTACTTCCTATGCATCTCACAAGGAGGTGACCGTGTGATGTTATGATGGATTAGTGAGTTCAGGTATTGTCAGCGGATCTATCCCTTATAATGGCTTAAAAAAAAAAACAAGGCGAATCTAGATCATTACCATCACCCCTGAAAATTCCCTAGTTTCTCTTCCCAGTCAATTCTTACCCCAAAGTCAATCACTTTCTGAAATTTTTTTTTCACCATTGATTAGTTTTTCCTGTTCTAGAACCGTGCATAAATGGCATCATATAGATGGCACTCTGCATCTGGGTTCTTTCATTTATTTAGTTTTTTTTTTTTAAAGATTTTATTTATTTATTTGACAGAGAGAGAGATAGCGAGAGCAGGAACACAAGCAGGGGGAGTGGGAGAGGGAGAAGCAGGCTTCCCGCCAAGCAGGGAGCCCCATTTGGGGCTCGATCCCAGCACCATGGGATCATGGCCTGAGCCGAAGGCAGACGCTTAACGACTGAGCCACCCAGGCGCCCCTATTCGGTTATTTTTATTTTATGAATATGCCACAGTTTATTTGTCCATTTCCTCACGAAGGATATTGAGTCAAAACTCCTGAATCCAAAGGTCACAGCTGGCGGGACTTAGTTAGCTTCCACTGGATCCTAACGTGTTCCCCTTCTTCCTCCCGCAGTGTCCCATCTCTCCGCGTCTTGCCTCCTGCAGCTGGGAAGCCAGAGAGCTCCCAGTTGGCAGCTAAATTTGTGGAGTAGATTTGACTGACAGCCAAGATCCCTAGGGATCAGTGCTCTCCGGACCCGGAGTGGGTTTCGCCCATTTTACGAAGTTCTGAAAATCTAGCAAAAGCAAAAGTGCCCAACCCTCGCTTGAGCGAGCTAGGAGAATTGGGCGTACCCTTAAAGATTAGTGATGATGGGAACACTCCCCTCTGGCCAGGTAGGAGACTGGAACGTTGACCCTTTGCCTCCCGCTTTTAAATGTCCCTTCC